AATAAAATAAAATCTGCACTTGTTTGTTTTTATTTATGATGGTGAGAATTCCGTACATAATTTATCTATTATATGGTTTCCCTCCGGGTCCGGTTTCTACTTGTCAGGTTCCGTTGCATCTTCAGTATTTAAAAGAGTCGTTTGCACATTGGTTGTCAGAATATTTAACGCCCTGTCCCTCGGGTACATGTAAATTATATAATTTTCAATTTTGTCCTGATACAATCTAATAGAGCGGTCGTACTTTTTCCTGACGTCAGCAGGTCAGGTTTGGGATGCCAAAACATACACTACAGATGACCACTCCCTGCACGGAGCATGAAACTTGTTTTATTTTACGTCGACATTTCAATGTGGGCGTGTTATGTCGTCACCCAGTCCATCGGTCCGCCCGTAAACAATTCGCTTGTGAACGCGGTAGAGGATACAGTTTTTAACAGATTCTTTTTAAATTTGGTGTGGAACATCGTGGTCATGAGATCACGACTCCTATCGAACCAGTGTTATGCCACTTTAGTTCCAGAGTTATGTGCCCTTTGTCGAAAACCTTGTGAACGCGACAGAGGCTATAGTTTTTAACAGATTTTAATAAAATTTGATGAGAAGCATTGGGTTATGAGAGGATGTACACTCTGCAACTTGTCATTCCGGAGTTACCCCTTTGACAAAAACGCTGTGAACGCGATGCATGCTTTAGTTTTAAACGGATTTCTTTTAAGTTAGCCGGGAAGCGATTTTAACTTTGTGAAAGCGATACACTCTACAGCAGATGAACCCTATCCATATTCAGTAGTCTCCCACAGTTTTTAACCATATTTTTTCAAATTTAGTTGTAAGCATCGGGGTCATGAGCGGATGAACCCTACCAATATTCGACGTCTTGACCTTCCCCCCGCCCCCTTAAACGCGGTAAAGGCTACAGTTTTTAACCGATTTTTTTTTTCAAATTTAGTTGTAAGCATTGGGGTCACGAGCGGATGAACCCTAGCAATATTTAAAGTTCTGCGACCCCCCACAACACGATAGAGGCTATAGCTTTTAACGAATTTCTTTCATATTTGGTGGGAAGCATTGGGGTCATGAGAGGGTGAGCCCTATCGATGTTAAGCGTTCTACGACTTTCCGTTCAGAATTCATCAAATATGCTCAACATCCATGTTGTCCTTTAGGATAAGCTGCGGTTGAGACATGCTGTTATGTGGGGATATTTCCACGCTTCGCGTGGCTATCTTTGAAAGTAAATATCCATTTTGTAACATAATCCTAATGGTCTATTTGATTACCTTCCTTTCAGCGTGTCTGTCCGTATGTCCATACACGTGTAATTTGATTGGTCCGGTTAGATACGAATTGGAATAGGCTATTTCGAGCCCAATCTGATTAAAACACAGATCCTAATTCGTTTCGTTTTTTATAGTTCAAAATTTCGTTTTACTTGTCTTCACAACACTAGGATCTGGAAGAGTTGTCCTTTCGGATAAGCTGTGGTTGAGACAATGCTGTTGTGTGGGGATATTTCCACGCTTCGCGTGGCTATCTTTAAAAGTAAATATCCATTTTGTAACATAATCCTATAATGGTCTATTTGATTTCCTTCCTTTCGGGCGTGTCTGTCCGTATGTCCATACACGTGTAATTTGATTGGTCGGGTTAGATACGAATTGGAATATATATTTCGAGCCCAATCTGATTAAAACACAGATCCTATTTCGTTTCGTTTTTTGTAGTTCAAAATTTCGTTTTACTTGTCTTCACAACACTAGGATCTGGAAGAGTTATTATATAACAGGCGTTTGCCAATGAAACGGTCTGTTACGACAAGTTCTGGGCGTGCTCTGCACGGAACTGTGGGTAAACCCCAGAAACGTCAACGCTGGTTTATCAATCAATGTCTGACGTCATAGGGTCAAAAGCCGCTCGTATGTTTCCTGACGCGAACTCTCAATACAACTGGTCAGATCGTCATGTAGTGTAGGCCATCGAAAGTATAAAAAACGAAACGAAATATAGATCTCTATGTTAATCAGATTGTTTCGAGCCAAAATCTGACGAAAAACAAGGTCGACATCTTGATAGTCTTATAGCAACTTCACACAATAAAGAGACTACAGGAACCAAATTGTGCCTATATTTCACTGTAAAGTAAATTTATCTTATATACATGTATATGATTGTCAATCCTAAAATATAGGCTTCTACAATCTTAACTTGAATCAATTAAGTAATGAATATTTAAAATCTTTCCTTTGGGTGTCTAACTGAATAATTAAAATCTTTCCTTTGAATGTCTAACTGAAAATGCTTCTGGTGTTATTTTCCCCCATTTCCCAAAGCGAAGAATGTGATTTGTAAAAGTACTAACCACTTATATTTTCAATTAAACTTAGTTCACTACAAAGAAACTCGTTTTATGATATGAATAGAACATTTCACTTATATAGATATCACAATATATTGCTAAACAGTCTGTATTCATAAGTAAAGTTTATTTAGGTATGGCAACGGGTACTCATATTAGTATAAGATACCTTTTAAAAAAAAAGTATTGTATAGAAAATATATTGAGTAAGGAATATAATTGACTGCTTTTGTAGTCTTTTTTGTATACAAATTTCTAATCTTATGACATTACAATAAGAGTAGATATGGGGTAATAAAGTCTGGTATAGGCCAAAATGAGATAAAATTGGGTTAACGTCCAACTTTCCTACTAACGAATGCGGACAGTGCGCTGTGGAGAAAATTTTCCAAAACTACTGCCCCTCCGCCTACACGATATCGATTTCCAACTGACAAGGGCGCCCCCCCCCCCTAATGTTCGACAGTGCCCTTTTTTACTGCTGAAACTGCCTTTTCTCAGACCCAAATATGTCCGTTCCCAACCCGTTGCAGGGATCCCAAATGACTCAAACCATCGACTCAAACACACCAGTCTGGTCTAATTAATGCTTCCACTTTCAAACGAATTCTTGTTGTTTAGCTGACGGTGCCCTAATCCTATAGAGTGACTATAGACAGACATCAATGATAGCATCTTGTGGAATCGGCGGCGTATACTACTATACACTCATGCCCATCACCGACGCGCATTAGTGCAACTTGATGTAGCAATGTTTCATGTGTGGACAGTACAAGTTACAAGGCTTAAATAGTGAAGTGGCTAGGGAATAGATTCGTCTTTTTTCCCATCATAATGCCTCGTTCGCCTTGACAATTTTCGAGTCGCGTGTTCAACTGGCTTTTTTGCTCGATTTTAAGGCTCTTTTTCAACGATTTCCGAACGTTTACTTAGACGAAAATATCAGCCAAATAGCTCTTGGAATGGCTACAGATGCAGGAAATGACGGATAATTTTCTTGGAGGGACCCCCCCCCCCCTCTCAGCGGCGTGCCGCGTCTCCGCGGTCAGTGCCCTCATTTTGCGGCGCCCCCCTTTTCAAAATTCCTAGATCCGCCCCTGAAAAGTGTTTGGGTACAGGTAATATAATATGACAGTTAATTGAGCGTTAAATTTCTTATTAAAAACTAGATAACATTCACACAACCGCTCTCCGTGTAACATCTAAAATGCTGCTAGGTCAAAATATTTGTAACTTTACATGTGTGTCTTTATCACTGTTTTCTCTGCCAGTGGGGAAATGAATGTAGCAACATAGTGGTTGTCTCTGGGACGTGTTATCTTTGCGTTAGATATTCAATTTACAATCAACATATGCCCAAACCAAACGAATCTGTTCAAGATGCTAAAAATATGTCAGTATGTGCTTGATATGCAAAACATCAATTTTATTCCACGTACATGTACTAGTCTATATAGCTGCCAAAAAGCATGATCCCCTCGTTTCTTCACAAATTCATGATGACATGACACAAACATTATGTGCCAATGCTCCGTTTATTACAAAAAAGGGGCAGGATCCACGGTCTGGTCGCCTTTTGTGAAGTCACCATCCCAGGTAAAGTTGACATTCGAGTAACTAACATTAGCAAAACATTAGTGGAACGAATATTTACACTTGTCGAGAACTATCGGGGAGATCCACAAGCTTTCTTGTCTCATCACCTTGACCCAGAGACATAAAGTCAAAGTATGCAGCGGAAGCACGTGAGGTCACCAACGCCAAAACAAAAGTTCAAAAGAACGTCTTACAATGACAAGGGGATGGCCTCCGTTTTCTTATAATCCAAGGGCGTAACCAGAGAGAGAGAGAGAGAGAGAGAGAGAGAGAGAGATGGGGTTTAACGTCCACTCGACACAAACTAGGTCATTTCGGGACTATCACATGGTTCAATTTTATTTCAATAATTCGCTTTAGCAGTGGGAGGAAACTGGAGAACCCGGTGAAAACCCACGAGGTTGGACAGGCGGGGAATCGAAACCCCGCCAATTGACTCAATGATAGACCGTATGATACAGCGCAGCGCGCACGTGCTAACCATTCGGCCATCCAACCCCCCAAGGGCGTAACCATGATAGATTATCTACGCAGATGAACTGCCCAAATTGCGTAATTAAATCAGAAAAAGGTGCCGAGGTAAAACTTCCCGAGGTGTCTCTTAGCGCTGCACAGGACTGTGGCTTCAAGATCATGTCTTACCCAGTCAATTCTCCAGATCTAGCTCCCTCTGACTTCTTCTTCCCACAACTCAAATCTATCCCTAGGCAGAGGGAGTGGGGCATATTTAGGACGGTTGATGTCGTCATCACTGCCGTGGGGGAAGGTTTTGGGTCACGTGGCAAACAGTGGTTTTCTGACGGGTTAAATAAGATGGAGAAACGATGGAACAAGTGAATTTATGCCAAGGGGAATTATATTAAATTAATAAGTATAGCGATTTTTATATAGATCACATAATACTAAGGGGGGCCGAAATCTTTTGGGTCACACCCCAAAAAAAAAAAAAAAATCCCAAAAAAACAAACAAAACAAAACAAAACAACCCAAACAACGATGTAAACTTTGGATTATTTTACACTGGAGTTCCCACTTTAAAGAATAGTAGAGATTAATGATAATGGAATAGCTCCGTTTATTATTACCAATAATTAGGTATTAATAAAAAGTTAAAATACTTGTTCTTTTATGTTACAGAGAAAATATTAATAATCAATAGTCTTCATTCTTCAGATTTGTATTTGCCACATTTTCCTTATCAGGATTGGAGTTATTAACATAGGTTGACAGGCAATGAAACATCCAGAACCGGACCTGGACCTACTCAGGACCAAATTAACCTTGGTTGTGTGTGTGTGTGTGGGGGGGGGGGGGCAAGTCCAGGGGTGGAGTAGAGTAGGGTCTTAACGTTATCTTTGTATGCTGTCCATTGATCGATGTAATGATACAATAAAATATTATTTAAATCTTTAGGGTCGCGTGCGGCGCGAAGACCCCGACGGAGTGGGTGGGTGAGAGAGATGCAACCCCAGAACTTTTTGTTATGGCAAATTAGATTTTTGAGCATTCAGAGGTATATTCTGGGCGAGTAATAGACGTCGAATAAAATAGGAATATTGATTATATTTTTGGATTAGAAACCACGTTTCAAACTTCAATCAAAAGCTATATGAGAAACCTTTAGCCAAATTATAATTCCAGAGATTCTCGTTAGTTGTCTTGAGTGTAAAAAGAAATCAAATTTCAGGGAAAACTTATAAATACATTATATCCATATTAATGTATGAATGATCTCACATTTCCTAGCGAACTGGCGGCACTATAAACATAGATGTCTACCGGTGGAGTTCAAGTCAAGGTCAAAACTACCCACGGACCCCTTTCTCGTGTAAAAGGAGTCCTATCGAATGGAACAGTCAGGATTTAAAATTGGGCCCCTGATTGTGGACACAATGAAGGCCCCCAAAAATGACCTTCATATTTTCAAATCTAAATAAGACTCACTCGATCATTCAATTGAACTTTTGATCTTGCGCTCAACCGAAAATATGGGTGGGTGGGGGCGCTCCCAAATTCGGCCATTACAACACATTTATTTGACTTTGCCCCAATTTGAGACCAGACCGTTGTTCTTCTGCAGTGCCGATCCCAATTAAATCCCCGCGCTTCTTAGTTCCGGTATTGCACCTACTTGAATTGACGTTATCTAACGATAAACACATAGGTTTAAATTCAACGGAACATCCTTTCAACTGCAGCTTGGTTGTCCACAATAAACCTCACGCACAACGCACTGACCGAAATCAATATCTCAACACTTATTTCAATTTAATAAAAGCCAACCCCCTTACCCCAACAACCTAATTTAATAGGCAACCTATAAAACTTTCATAGACCTGGTGTGATGTTTGGGCAAAAGTGATCTTCGAAATGTACATGCTTCTTCCCTTTAAACTCATCAAGACGAAGTAATGTATTTTGGGATATTATCAAAGAGATTGAACGAGCAGGTGGGCAAATTACGACAAGATTAAAGTATAGATACAAATAAAGCGTATTGTGAAGTCTAAATAGTATACATGATAATAAATGGATGCGCACTTCATATCGGAACCAACCAGAGTGTAATATGCAATACTAAAATATTGTTTCGTAATTTAAGACAGAATAAGCACATTTTGCCATTTGGTTGACACTCTTCATTATATGACAAAATCCAGGAACAACATTATCAATCTGACCAATAACATTATATGAGAATATTGCGCAAGTCGTTGTTAAATAAAAAAAAAATGGATTACTCATGCAGTTTCAAACATAATATAGGACAAACATGCGAACATCCCTTGAGTAAGTCCTATTTTCAGTACACTTGAAATGTATTGTATCTGGATTAGCGAGACTACATATCTGCCGAGTAGAACTTATGTTTTGAAATCATATCTTCAGTGACATGATACCAATTCTGCGTGTAAGTCAAAGCCATAACACGATTGAAATAAATAAAGAATGCACAAATATTATGATTAACTATGTCATACTGAATACTAGTGTGTAGATGATATGAATATTATGCCAATAATCAATATTATGTAAACAGTAAATAACATAATATTCAAATATATATGCGATCATATTTTATGCACCATGAGATAATTACACCATTCCACATTGCACAGTATTAGCGTTGTATTAAATCCATTAATAGTTATAATAGTTCCTCGTGTATGGGGATATTGTCCACGGGCTCCAGTGGAGTATATTCATACACCTTATCTTGACCAAATCGTACGGCACGTTTCTTTGACGCCGTTAGATTTATACGCCGGTGAGCCACGCTGCCTCTCGGATCAATCATTGCTTTGGGTCGAGGAATTCTAAACGTGTGATTCATCCCAATTTTTTGAAATGTCGGTTCGGAGATTCTGGCTACTGAACCGTTAACTGATAAATGTGCCATCTCTGACCAGGTCCGTCTATACGTGTCCATTTTACTGTTTTCTGTTTGTGTGACATTACGATAGTTCGGCTGCCCACCACTAGCTGTATAAGCCTGTCCGTTTTCACTTTTCGTAGTCGTGTGAGTAACGACCATAGGTATTCTGTGTCCATTTTGCTTTGAAGTGTCTTCTGATTTGCTATCTTTCTTTTTGTTTCCTTTCGATCTTGATTCACTTTTCGTTGCTAGATTTGATCGTTGAACCCCGTTGTCGACGTAACGGACTTTAGCATCATAAATTTGATAATTGCGAGAAAGATCGGCTGGAACATTACTAAATCCATCTTTTGATTGGAAAGTACTTAGATCCGTTGCTGTCGCTTTTTTCGGGTCTAAAGAAGCAACTTTACTATCGTGGTGCTTAGCGACACCATTACTTAACGGTTGCTGGGATTTTCGACTTGGGTCGCGAGCTCTTATCGCTGTGTTGTTTGGAATTCTCTCAATATTTGCATATCCATTAGTATACATTCTAGGAAAAGCTTGCTCCACCGTCAATCTACGCATCGGTCGAGACACCATGCCGTTGGCGGCCATTTGATTCCAGTACTCCACACCAGCCATACCTTCCCTACGCCGGATAGCGTTTGCCATCTCCGGAGAGACTTTAATGGGAACCATTGGCACGGCTACCATTTGGCGTCTGTAATAATCCGGCCTCATTGCCTGACCGCGCGATTCGCGTGATTTCGTTTTTGATGTCATTATGTTTCTTCACAATAATATTATAAAAATATGAATTTATCGACACTTTATCCAATTCACATGTTAAAATGAAACACAATGTAACAAAGCAGTCCAATGGAATAGTTTCTGTTACTGGCCATTTTCTCCCAACCTGCAAATAAACAAGAATAAATTAAGCTGGTTATTATCACATAAGACTATTAGCGACAACATACCCACCCTCTCGTCAGCTCATTGTTCGCTATAATGTGAATGAAGTATTGTTACTAAGCCTTTACTCTCTAATTACCCCCAACGCAGTTAACATCTGACCATATAGGTTTACTATGAAGCGTCATTATAAAATGCGAGTACGTATATGCTAGGAATGTGATTTTTATGACAATAGAATGTATTTTATACACATGTCCTATCTATATTCCAGAGACATAAAATCAAGGGCAAGCCACGCGCAGGGGGTTCTCGGCCTTTTCACCTATTCTGTATAATAAATATTTAAAAGTGTAAGAAAAAAAAATTTAATTCTTACAAGAAAACTTTTCGCGATTAGCCAGATGCAGACCCCGTCAATAAATAAAAATAAATATTTTCCGGTACCTGTACTTCATTTTAAGAAAGGACAAAATGTGATGTGATATAAGCCTGTCTTCTTATAAGATAACCTTTTACCTAACACAACACAGGTCAACATGTTCAAGGTTTGCCGGAAAGAACAAAAACAAAATAACAATAGCATACATATAAATAATGGACATGGGCCCATTGTTTACAGGAAAGTGTAAATATTTACACAACTTGATTTTATGTAACACATACTACAATGATAATCTTTCCTGCAGACTGCACTAAATATCGCGGAAATGAAGCAATAATACTCATCGATTAGCAATAAAACCAGGCAATGATTTCCTGTTATAGAAATTATAAGCTGTTAGTTAGTAATTTGTTGCTTTAATAATTAGTCTTGATAAATCTATATTAAGCCAGTAGTATATATGTAGTTAATCGGTATGTCAATTGCTATAAGAAAGAAATGGTTGAATAAACTATGCAATTTGTGAATGTGAGAATTATTACACTTCCAGAAGCAGTCCATGATGGCCCACAGAGAATTATCGTGGTTTCGTGAGATCAGGAAAACTGTCATATGTAATCGTTTATTATAGCGATATTATAGTAAATTGTCAGTTTATCATCGGTTGCTAGAAACAGGTATGATCGTAATGATTGAATGTTGATCGCAAGAAAAACCATTGGCGAAAAACCATTAGGACAATCATAGATATAGTCGGTTACGTTACCATGATACAGTGATTCTCAACAGGTGTGCCGCGGCACACAGGTGTGCCGCGAGATCTTCCTAAGTGTGCCGCGAAATTTTGAACGGCACACTAAGAAAATACGAAAAATCACGTGATCCCAATTGAGTATTCACTAGTGTCTACTGATAAGTTCATAGCTGTGTTTTTCTTTATTTAGTTTGTCATTCTATGTTTCTATGACTAGTCTCCGTTTACGGTTGTATGCCTTCCGAATTACCATGTTTTTTTTTTGTTTTTTTGCCGACTGGTTAGCACGTGCGCGCTCTATCATAAGGCCTGTCATTGAGTCAACTGGCGTGGTTTCCATCTCCCGGTTGTATGTGCCAAGGAGTTGGGTCGCTTGTCCAACTGCGTGGGTTTTCTCCGGATCCTCCGGATGCCCCCCTTGCTAAAGACCCCTACGCGCAAGCGAATTATTGAAATAAAATTGAACCATGTGTTAGTCCCGAAATGACCTAATTTGTATCGAGTGGACGTTAAACCGCATATCTCTCTCTCTCTCTCTCTCTCTCTCTCTCTCTCTCTCTCAATGCTGACCACTGTCACTGCTGGGATTATGATTACTAACGAAAGCCTAGGTTGCTGGACCATTAGCATAATGATTACTAATGGATTGCGAATTGCGATTAGAAGACTTGATTATAAAGAAAATGATTACTAAAGAATGGTGACAATGACGTTAACTACTCTGTGATCATTGTAAGAAGAACGTACGTCCTTTATTAGGTCTACCACATTAATAATTATAATTCACACGAATACAGCCCCTCCCCTCCTCGTTTTTACTTTTAATATTATATTATACAATGAAATGAGGTTTAACATCCTACTTTTCTACTCCTATAATATAAAACATTGGGTATAACATCACTTTGAAATCATTTCTTCAAATATTCAGATTTTGTAAATGAACATTCCATCCCTCCCATGAAAACCGTTTAACATCATATTTACTTATATCAGCAATGACAAGAATTTGATTTTCATATCAATAAAGTTATTTGCCTTTAAGATGAAGTAAACAGGTCCACTTTTAACTGAATATTTTTAACTCGGTTCATTAAATATTGTTTATCCGAATGAAACGAAAGTTAAGCTCCTATATAGAATTCACTGACTCCTCATCTTTAAATCATAAGTGATATTAGCGCTAATCAGAAACTGGTAAGATCTTTGTGTATCTACACGGGGTTATGAGTTCTCCATCAAAAGCTGTTAGTCGAGTAAATGTACATTAAGTTATGTTCATAGAGACACTTTCTAATGTACAACTTTCTTTATATTTCAATGGTCCTTTAAGTGAATATTATAATCATCCATGTGTTACAAAATATAGCCTAAGGATGAATATATACCATCATACACATTAATCTAGAGCATATTATTTAAATCATATTAATCCATCATAAAAAGATAAATGATAAAATCTAAGAGAAAATTCATTTATACTTTGGTTGAATAAAAAAAAACCTTTAAGATATTATGATCATGGTTACAGAAGATTTTATCACACCAATTATTTCATTTAGAGTGAACGTTTCTCTATAAATATTATATAAAATAAGTGATATATTAAACATGGTCAAAATAACGACGCCCTAAATAACCTTGTGTCTTAGGACGGCATCTCGGGTGTTAGTAGAGTATGACTTTTCAAAACTTGACACCACATGAGTAGATTGTTTCAAATGTTGGTTTTATTGGCTAATGAAGACGGACATGCAGTCTGCTACGAGGGAAATTTTTTTGCGATGACAACCTACTCTTTTTTCGAATCCCAATTAATTATTCAAGTGTATAAGGGAACTCGGATTATCGTACTATCCGAACGACTAGTCGCACTTCCTTGCAGCACTGACAAGGGGACCATGCACGCCGGGAAATACCAAGGAACTTTCGTGGCCATCACCAGGTAGGCTAGCGAACCAGCGCCTATACTCGCTGAGCCAATGCGGCTCCGGTTTTAGTTGGTGTTAGATAATAGGTGTCTTGTACGGGTGTACACCAACCCTACTTCAACGATAAAAGAGTTGATTCAGACTGGAAATTATCAACGAGTTGAGTTGGTGTTAATTTGGAGTTGATCTGGTGTCGAGTCAGTTTTGGAATTAACATGTACGGCTATAACTCACTAACTGATTTTTGCTGTACCCAGAACTTAAAATAAATCACTGTCCTCTACATGCATAGGCCCACAACCTGCAAGTCCTCATACAATAAATCAAAGTATTTAAAGATTTTACACAATGCATTTTTAATACATAAACAAAGGAAAGAAAAAAAAGCATATTCTTAAAGAGATTCAGCGAGTAAAACGTCTCATGTTAACAGTCCATGAAGCAAGCCTATAATTTCATGAATTATATGTTGTTTTCGTATATTATATTATGCTTAAAATGCATCTAAAGTATCAACCCTCATAGTGTAAAATTACTTTGGCAACAATGAATTTTAAATATTTTTAAATTATTTAATTTTTTTATTATAGGGCCGTAGGAGGGTGGGTGGGTGGTGGTAATGATTGAAGTGGCCAAATATACTTCCCGTTCATACCGTTAAATATAACTGTAGGAATAAAAAAATGTCACTGACCATGCCCCCACCCCCCGTCCCCGTCCCCGTCCATCACCGCATCCCCTCTTTCCGTTCCATTGGGTTAATCATTAAATTAAATCCTAATTTCCTCGTCGGCATTTATGAAAACTTTGAAGATATAGTACATTTTCACATTGTATATGATCTTTTTTATCTATGTTGATGTTTCAACGGAAAGGAAATCCGAAGCTTAGAGGGAAATTGCAATTTTAACGCATCTCAGTTAAAAATGTGCACACACGAAGCAATATTTTACAGTGCATCTTGTGGGGCAAAACGTTTTCCCCACTTTTTATGAAAATATAAAGAAGCAGCGGGGCAATACTAATGATGTACCAATTGAGAGATGGAATGCAGCACATTTAGGTAAACATCACACTTGTAAAACAAACCACAAAGGGAGAGGACGATAGACAACATCCCCAGAAACCGGTATTCTCCAGTGCGTCAGAGTCCTTAAAAATGCATTGTGCCACCAGAGAAATAAATTGTACCACCTCCAGGCATATAAATCTAAATATTCTTAAATAATAGGCACAGAACTGTACTATCCTGTATAAAACCAATATAAAATCATATTCATTACTGAAAACATCATTAAACCGTTACATATTGTAATCAAACCAGATGAACACAACAGCCAACTAAGAAAATCACACCATTCAATGACATTATCTAAAACATGGTTAGTATTTAACTTACTAAAACGTTATATTTTTTTACTAAGCAACTTTGTTACTTACTAGGTTAAATGACGATATAATCCTTTCACTCGTGGTCTCAACACATATATATTTACTTAATGTAGCGTTTACATCAAAGATTATTACCTATATCATAATCTGGTTTTACAACATTCGTTATGTAACGTAGAAATTACAGCTTGTACTTCAGATGTCGACCTCACATCATTCCCCGTGTGGCCTAAATATTTACCTGAGCCAAAAACAACACGTGGTACTAACTCTCCCCTAATATACGACCCCTATATCCGCTCTAATATAAAGATGCCCAGGGTTTCATCCTTTTCACATGAACCATTGCTTTTGAAGGGAAAATTACATCGTTATGCAGTCAAGCATGGTCTTCTATTTTTACCTATTATCTGAAGGTTGGTGTATGTCTATATCAGATTGTTAGAGTATACTATAGTTATATACAAGGCTCACTGATGTCATGTTACAAGCTGGTAAAGTAACATAATTATTGTGTGCTTTAGGGCTCAATTATCTCTAATAATTAGAATGGTGTCGTTTTCGTTTTGATTTACGAAAAATGTCCAAATCAGACTCCCGGTTATATATCACCTACACTGAAGACAAGTTAGAAAATAAAATCCCCTATTCAACATTTTACTGGTGGGTATATGAATATAAAATATTTTGTACTTTAACCTGCTATAATATACATGTATATTGATAATCATTGGCCTTTGATATCCCGTTGACAATTTGACATACTCTTTTATTTCTACTTTCACTAAAATTCTGTGACCATTTTATCTGCATTTCTTCATGAATTTAATGTGACACTACTCGTGGATCACAATATGCATCCTCGTATTTTTAAGCTAAAACATGAAAGTTTATTGGTGAATGGTGATAACACATTGAATAATACGTTTGAAATTGAGAAACAACGCTCAACATTTCCGAAAAATAAGTCGCCATCCCCATGGCAAAACGCAAATAAGTGATTTCATTTACAAAAGTAAATAATGTGATAATTGTTTCGCGGTTCGCACTCATAGAATGTTATACAACAAGCATTTTATATTTTAAAAATATTGTTTTCTATGATTAATAATACAGTAAACACGATATGGTTTAATTTAATCTAAGTATACATTTCATATTAATAATAAATACATTAACGCGATAGGGGTTAATTTACAAGAAATAAACTGGATATACAATATATTGTTAGTCGCGGTCTGCAAATATAAAAAGCTATAACAAGAAAATAATAGACTATTTGATAAATAATACATAAACAGAATTAGTGTTGTTACTGTATGAAATGAAGCAAAACAAAACACATTTATTTACATTGATGGTTGACGATGTGTTAACTTCTGAACCTCACATGATCTCAAGGTCAAGTATAATAACTTTAATTAGTCATAGAAATGACTTTAATAACCCCTGATAATACTGTCTATAAGAAGAAACATACTGTTTATACATTATGTGGCCAAAACTTCTTTTTTTGCTTCGTTTATTCTTTATAATACGTTAATATTAAGAGGCTTAGTCTACCCTGTCACTCCAGGTTCTCATCCTTCAAGCGGCTTACTTTCTTTTAGATATACATGTACCTTTCTCTTACAGAAAAAAACCCAACACTAGACTAACAACATCTGTGCATCTCTTTTCAAACGTTTCATTTCTTTGTATGTTCATGTTTTACAAAAAAATCTTACTTTTTCATTTGGTTACCAGTGAGCCTTCGTTGTTTATCTTTCTATTTATTCTTTTCAAATGTGACGCATATGCAGATTTTATTTATGGAGATCATAATAAAAGTCTCATAACTTTAATGCTACTTATACAGAATAATGTGACAGAAGAAGCTCTGTATAATTTTCTAATCTTAAGCAAACCACAATTTTTGTTATTGAAATACCCTAAGATTATTATAATGTAATTAGCTTATGACCGTGAGTAATCCTTGTTAAATAGTGATTTGAGCAACTTCTAGAAGTCTATCATAGCAATCTTACATACAGACTGACATAATCATGAACCAAGTTTCAAAAACTACTCTTTCAGGAATCATCCAAAACTAGTGTTAAAACTACTCTTACAGAAATCATCCAAAAACCAGTGGTTAACCAAATTAAATAAAAAACTACTTTTAGAGAAGGCATCTACAACTAGAGCCAGTAACTACTCTTAAAGAAATCTGCTAAAACAACACATAACAGCATTAAGACTAATCACCTGAAGTCAGTGGTTAACGAAATGAAACGAAATACTACTCTTACAGAAGACATCTATAACTAATATCCAAAACTACACTCACAGAAACCTGCTAAAACAACACAACATCATTAAAGGCTCAATACCACTCTTGTTGTAACTGAATAATATGTCCCAATCTTTATTCTGGTCAACAAATTGTACTATTTTACAATATTCCAATTAATTGATGATACAAATTTCATCTTAACACACCTAATTTAAAAAAATTGGAAAAATTCAACTAAATGATTTGAAAAGCCTGACGTAAAGCTTTTCAAATGTTACTTGGATTTAAAAATATTTTTGAACCCTCTGGACAAGTAAAATAGGATTTAATGGATAATTTCCACAACAGGTAGGACACTAACACATCTAGTACTTAGAATAAGGCTATTTTTTATTTTCTGGAGCTGTCAACCCAGCAAGAGTTTTATTGTCCCTTTAAGATCAACTGTTTACGGTCAGCGGTTGACGACGTTTTTTACATGCACGCCAATATGTCGACAGGACTCAGTATTTCTTCCCATCCGATCGAACCCCGGAACTCATGATTAGTGAGCCACCATGGCTCCCCAATGAAAACACATTGGCAATATAAATCAAATAAATATTTCCAATAGAATAACCAAAAAACCCTATCAAGAATATCAATCCACTGAGTTTACCATCACTGCAACATGAACTTACGCATTTTATACTTTAAAAAACCCAAAACAAACCCAAATATCTAGATCTAGAGATAGTCCAGATTAAGTTTTAGACTATTCCAGAATGTTCTGTTTTCAACCTGTCGTCTTATCCTGTTTTTCAATTTTGGCGATTGTCGTTTTAATATTTTGGTTAAAAATGACAATTATATCGGCCATAATCAATCAGAAAATGTGTAGCAGAAATACCTGTATAATATAGGTATAGAGTTCCCACGCACATCAAGAAGATATCTTAATATAATTTTTTCAACAGTTATCAAGCTTAACACACCGGGTGTATTCTTATCGCCATGCGCGACACCATAAAAAAAACCTAAAACTAAAACCCAAATCACGATTAAAAAGATACAACTTTTGTTAATCTACAGAAAAAACAAAACAAAAGAGGATTCGATTTATGAATTTATAATTTAAAATCCATTTATAGAACCATAAAACACATATGGAGTATAAGTAAAATGGTGTACTTGATATGTTGCCAAGCGTTAACACGTATTATAAAATATAATTGAGATAAGAATTAAGAGATTATTACCAACACTTTGAACTCTTACACTGTATATTATTAATAATATATATTCTTACCTGTACTTATATACTATATATACCATAACACTCATAGACATATACTGCTTTAAAATGTGTAGACACAACCTCAATAAGTCAAATTTATATGTTAATAAGTAGGCTATATTATGAGGACCAACTATAAGGATATATTTCCCTTCATCGATCAAGCGATTTTCTTAGTTCCCTGTGTTTAATCAATATGACCTGGGTATATTTACATTAACACAATGTTAATACAACTTACCACTGTTAGGTCACTGGATAATTGTGTGAATACTAACAATTACAGATAATTTACTACTGCTAAATAATAATATATCTGGAGTTCCTGCTGTCTAGCGCTGAAATCATGCAATCTATTTTAATTCAGAATTGAACGATCGAAAATAGATTTCACCTAAAAAAAAAACCAACAAAAAAACATGGCGATATTTAAAGGGAAGGGGGACGGTTAGCTTAATACGAATAACAGATATGCTATAACTCGAATCTAGATTGTTTCTTATTTTAAGGGACCATTGCCGAGTACAGTGACCTTGGTGTAAATCTGATTTAAAAACAACATCCCTTTCAAAATTTATCGGCAAATTAAGTTATGTACATTTAACACTAATTCTGCCAGCTAAGTTTGAAACAAGTATTGTCTTAAGAGTAGAGGCTATATTTACGCGCGACATACCAAGGTATCTCAGTCAACCAGGCACTAGTAAGTCTGGCGCACATTGACAGAATAGACATGAAGGTAACTGGGGGATTGGCAGCCCACAACGTCAACTTTTGTCTCCATGGCCAATTGCATTTGAAAACTGAATTGTATTTTTTTTTTTTCTTATATTTTTTTAAAATAATGTCTTTAGTTAAAAATCAATAAAAACGACATATTTACATAGTTCACATTACATTCACAGTGTGTAATATCATATCTTAAAATCACATTAAAATTTCAAAACAATAATCATACAAAATATTTATTTATTATTGAAAGCTATACTACATTTTCATAATTCATTTAGTAGAGCAAACAAAAACACAAAGAAACAAAAAGCAAAAAACAAAACACGAAAGGAATACTAGAATTGTAATTTATGGCAATATCCCTTTAAAAACCAAATCATGGGCAACTACTTACAAGAACTAACAAAATTAATAACACTTATATTTTGTATTCCTTTATCGATAAATTTCATTCTTCATTAGTTGGCGGCTACGAGATTGATTTTCCTCTATTAGAATCTTTTATGAACAGCTCTTTTGTGTTTCATTCAAATCTCAAGATCACCTTTTTGTAAAGTCGTCGTATTTGGGGGATAAAAAATCTTATTTTCTTGTATGAAAGGGTAAACTATCGCTTTAAATAGATGAAGAGTAATAAGCGCCAGTGAGATTTCTCTTACTGAAATGTAATATTTGAGGTATAACATAATAATAGTAACTATATAGAGCGCAAGAAGACGGTGTGGTGTCACGACACGGTATTGATGTATGACCACACCCTACACCTTACAATAAAATATAATAACCTAGTCGTTAAACATATTTCACTTATTCTATACACCTACAGTTTCTTTACAATTAAAAATATATAAATACATATAGCCACTCCAAAAAATGTTATAAAAACTCTTATTGAGACAGATTTAGGATCAAGCTGTTTTTTCTTCCAGCTCATGTCTTGATTAAAATAAAACTAGACGCCCACTTACCTGTGTGTCACAGTAACAAATTTCTATGTCCTTCCACAGCTTGATAAATGTCAGTGATAAGGAAAATGTATAATAAAATGTTTCATATACTTTTCCTACATTTAAACAACACTTGAAATAGTTTCGAATTACTTCGCCTCTAACCAGGCTTAAAATTAAGTTCATTTGGCTGTGAATTTTAATGCTTATGCAAATAGAATATCCCCATATTCTATATGTATTTTATATACGATAGACTTTACTGGTCTAATGTGTTCATGTTAGTTAAGCATTGTGAAATCTCTAGGAGAATTTACAAACATAATATGTCCGAACTGTCTTAGGTATATAATAATATTTATACCATTTTATTTATGTCACGTTAATGGAGACCATGCACCATCTTGTCCTAACAGTGGCGTTCTCGCCTATTCTTCATCAAATTCCAACTGTCAAGTGTTTCTTTAAGTACACGGGTGGACATTGTTTTCCGGTCCCATCAAAACGACTAGACGTCATTCCTTGTCAGGCCCTCTGCACCACTAAAAATCCCCGAGGAACTTTCTTGGCCACCATCTGGATTGAACCCGAGTCCCCTTGATTAGTGTGTCAGCGCCCTACTGAAGAGGGGCATACGCCATACAGTGTGCTATGGGGGAATTTCAATTGTCGAGGATTCTTTAACGTGCACACGACCTCGGTTTTCCTTCCATCCGAACCACTATACGTTGTCCCTTGCCAGGCCCTTTGAATTTTCTCGGTAAACACAGGGATCCAAACACATGATCTCCGGGTTAGCGAGCCAATGTCTCACTCACTGAGCCACCGTATCTCCCCGGGAAAACAGATAGCATAATTTAGAAGATCGCATAATGCTGAAAATCGATAGTAGGGTTAGTCCTTCTTGTGACCTCAATCCTATCCCCTTTCTGAGCCATAATTACACAAAATAATGCACTGCTAAAATTAATGGAAGGGTGTTCATGTATACACACTGCCCATGTTGGTTTTCATTTGTAAATCAACAATTTCTCGAATACATCAACACGTGCATTACCAAACGCGGTGTTTGAAGAAATTTTGAGCTACATGTATTATGTACCTGTTAAATTCTCAGATTATTTTTGAAAATAAAACTTTCTAGTAGGCCTACTTATCTTGTCAACTGACCAAATCGATATCACTGAATCTATTTCGGTCCCTGAAGCACTCGTGGTTTGGATATAGGAACATACAGGAAATGAAATGAAATGAAATGGGGTTTAACGTCCTACTGTTCTGCTCCGAACTGGGCTAATAAAGACGGGCATACGCCATACAGTGTGCTATGAGGAAAATTTTGCACGGACAGCGGCAGTACGCCAACATCAAAGGGTGACGCCAAATCCCTATTTTAAATATATTTATTATCTTATATCATGCACATCCAATGGTCAATCAAACCGAAGGTCAAAAGAAAATGTAGATTAAGTATCAGGGCTCTGGTTATTAGATTGCCAACGTAATTAATTATTTTTTAAATGTAATGATTACAATTACGTCTCCTTTTTATCAATATAATTACTTACCATTACTTACATTGAAATTAATTAATTACCAATACCCATTACTTTATGCCTATTTTCTACCATGAAGCTCCACGAAAATTGGGTTCAAAATAACAAAGATAGATTTTTCTATGTGAATTGCGATTTCTATAAAATATCACACCAATACAATAGTAAATTTAAAGAGAGGGGTAGTGGTGACAAAAACTAATGCTGTAATTGTAACTATACATTTAATTTAAAGTAATTTGATAAAATTCTTAATCAATCCACAATAATAGATTTTTCTGTCCAGAATATTCTTTGATTAATCTACATCAAATGCACTTCAAATTGGCATGTCAAAAAGTGGCTCTAGATAAAAACAAATATTCTTGATTGTTTTGGTTCTTTAAATCAAATTTTAGTATTCCCGAATTGTTCGCCTTATTTTAACTAAAATATAGAACTTTATAAAAACTTTTGCTGTTTTAAAGTATCAAATATATCAATAAGAAACTATGTGCAACGTTTTGTGTTTCTGGATCACCGATCAGAGAGATATGTCTCATAAACAGTGATTGAAAGTTGAGTTTACTGTGGTTCAGGGAAAGGCGCTCTGGTTCACTAACAAGAAGGTCCTAATATAAGTTCGACCCTGATGTTAGCCAAGAATGTTCCCCAGGATAGTCTAGCAAGGAAACAAACTTCTGGTCATTCGGATGATTCGAAATATCGAGGCTCATCGCAAACTCGCTGGTGTACACGTAAAAGAATCCTTGACAGTTGGAATTCTATGAAGAGTAGGCAATACAAAATTGCCTAGCGTGTGTCCGTCTTCATTAGCACGGATAAATAAAGATATGTGTAATAGAACAGCTCACATCAATTAGTCAATAATGCCAATACATAAAATATAGAATTTTATTATTGTTCAGTATTTGATATTAATAAATGAATAGAACAGTACATGTATCAGAAAGTATTGAATTAAACTATTTGTATATGTATAGTGTCGTATTCACTGCAGATATTCTCTATTTTAAGGATTGGTCATCAACGATGAGAGTTCAAGGTATTCTAAGTTCACACCCTATCAAGTGGCAGGTTGAAGCTAAAACTTTACTCATGTATAGTATATAATTTTCGATAGTTAAATAATTATATAAACATATACCATGTATCAGTATGAGTTTATATACATTATGTCCGATGTAAATCAAAGGTATGTTAACAATGTCATGGACCATACTAAATTGCTTGCTAAAAATTCCAACGACACCATTTTGAATTGTTCCACGTTGTCAATCACACATTATCTGGTAAGGTCGAATTTATCGTGTGTTGAACTGAAGCCTAATTATAACTTTCGGTAATCAGAATATATTCAAATTAAAAATGCAACATTTTTCTCTCTTGTAGCGGTTCGTGGGAAGCCGGTCAATTATTTTGTTTTGGATTCAGCGGGAAAATACATTTTATAACAATTTACGAAAAAAGGGTTTGTTTATAAGTTTAAAAGAACAAATACATTTTATAACGATTTACGAAAGAGGACATTGTTTACAGGTTTAAAAGAAAAAATGGTGACGTCTCAATTAATAAACTGTGGAATTTCAATAAACAATGAATCAGAGCATGCCGTATTCGGCGCCATCTTAGAATTCTGACATATCAAAAGTAAGCCAATTGACACAAGCAACATTCGTGCAAGTTTCATGTCGATCGGACTTGAAATGGCGGAGCATTAGGCTTTCTTTTCATTTTGGAACGCTCATAGGAGGTACAACTGCTGATCTTTGTCTCGTAGACGTCTCCATTAATTTCACTGTCGGTTCAAATTAAATTTGGTGTTCTTATTATTGAAAAGAACGATGGCAATGTTTCGTTCCCAGTAGAATGTTAATGGAATACGTAAATAGACATTGCATACATTCTTATTTCATAGAATTAATCCAATTATCATTTATTTACAAACACTAGCCATCTTTTAAAAAATAAATTGTAGTAAATAATTATTCTATTGATAAAATGCCAACGCCTCAGATTAATGAACTGCTGGAGTGGTCAAAAGTTATTTTGGCTTGGTATAAAAAAAAAATAAAACCAAACAAATCCCACCCTGAAGCCGAGACCTTAAAATACGTAAGACTTGTAAATTAATATAACAGTTTGATATAAAAACCGAACAGATTTTCCTTGTGTATATTAAACATTTCGAGGGTTCGAAAATATCGTTTTTTCTTCATTAGGTATTATTTTCAGAAGTCTGCAACAGAAATCTGTTCTCGAAAGTTATGTCAACGTCAACACGATACTAAACACTGTAGAAAGTCAGTGTTCCATTGGTTTTTTGCGTAATGCCCATCTATAAATGCACACAACGTTCTTATTATTGTGTGTTTTAGACAATACAATGTTTATGTAACAGTGCAACTATTTTTTAAGATCATTTTAATTTTAATAACATAGAACTCTAACGTCCCAAAGGGTAATAAGATTATCTCTCCCCACACCATAAAATAATGAATATAATGTATTTTATAGTAACTTACCTTTATCTATATTCGATGTGATATAAGACAAATCAATCACTGTCTACTCCTATATCTGTATATATAAGATTAGTAGATATGACTTTTAAAACAACTAATATACCGCTTGTCTAGCACGAGACATCTAGTAAGTAACATAGATATGATATACTTTATCAGACCATATATAAGTAAAACATCACAACTTGTTTTTAAGATGTCATTACAAGTAGGGATTATATCATAATACCCGTCTTTAAGACCATCTTTACTATATGTACCCATAAACTTGTCAAGTGAGTTATCAGTGTATTTGAATGAGAGTGATAATAAGCTAAGTACACTGGGGCGATAAATGGAGTTCAGAAGTTTAGTTAGACATTGGCGACTGACGAATATTATGTGTTCTCTGATGTTCGATCTAGGGTTAGGTTAGACCACCCAGTTGTCAACTTAAAATGTAGGGTTTGGCGCATTGAATGATTAGAATTGGTTCTTTGCATCCATGTATAAAGTGAGGCACATCAGTTTTAGCTAATGTTATCTTCTCTCACATTAATCTGTTTTAGTTAAAAATATACCCAATGAATCAAACTCGGAAAGAAGGACGTTTGTTCTACACGCATCATTTGAAAATCGTCTTCGTGATATTGCTGAAGACGAAGACTACAAGCTGCCATTTATAAACAAATTTGTATTATAGAAGGCTCTATCTTAGATTAAGAATAATTTTAATCTATAACAAGGGGAACAACTCTATTTTAATATGAATTATGTCCCTTGTCAACAATCATTTTTCTGGAAAGAATACATTCGGTATTGTTATTGTCACGTGATATTTGTTCCATGTGTTTTATGTTTGTGAAATAATTATTCAGTGTTCTAGTCCTAAGCCAGGTATATTTTAACATGGGCTGTGTAGGAAGAAAGAGGAACCACAAAGGTAACCATCCCTGGGCTAAAAAGGGTAAAACAAAAAGACGCACAAAAGATTTGGACCAGATACACGAAGATATGAAACCTGGCAAAGCTGAACAGATGTTGAATCAAGATGTGAATTATGACAAACCAGGCGCTGCCCAACATTACTGTTTACATTGCACGTAAGTAGGCTTACAGACAATAACTTAGACATCCCTAGGCTATTTTCTTATTTTGGCCATTATGATAAAACTGAAAATGTTGACAAATCGTCAAATCGGGACACCAACAAATTCTAATTTTCATACTATAATTATAGGCTCTGTCATTGTCACAGTGTGAGACTGAGCACAGGAATCTGACCTTCTATCCGTATATACATATATACACCATACTGCACTAGACAATATATAATATAAAAAGAACAGGAATGCAATGCCTGTTGAAGCCTCTATTTTACCTGCTCTCGTTTTGGATCGTTTTATTTTTTAACAATTCGTAATCATGGCTCCGGGGTGTTGAACCTGGCAAAGACACAGAAAGGAAAGCCATCAAAACCAGAGAAGTATTCCCTCACCGTTCATCGCAATGATAGAACATCAGGTATAGGAGGCGGCATCTTCAATGCTTTCACTAGTGGAATAACTGCTGATGAGCAACCAACACTAGTCACAGAATGTGAAGTCATATGGTCCAAGTTGAAATTAGAAGGACAAAAAGATATTTATATCTGTTCCTTCTATATGCCCCACCGCAATACCAATGACATATTACAACTTGAGAAGTCGCTTAAATCCTTGACTTTTCAACGGAAAAGCAAACATATCATCCTTGCCGGAGACTTCAACTGCCCTGATATTGATTGGAAGAATCTTCAAGTGAACACTGGAGCAGCGGATAGAGATGTACAACAATCCTTACTGGATCTGTCGATAGAATATGACCTCACACAGATCCATGAACAACCGACTAGAAACAACAATATCTTATACTTGGTGTTCACAGACAACCCATCTCTTATTAAATCATCTACTTCAGTTTCTGGTATTAGCGACCATGCAATGATTGTCACAGACATTAACGTTCTACCTCATTATATTAAGCAAAATCCAAGGAAGATTTACATTTACTCGAAGGCAAACTGGCAACTTATACACAAAGACACCAAAAAGCTCTCCCAGGACATCATCAACCTTAGTAACTCTAAGGATACGAATGTAACCTCCTCAAATAACACACTATTTATGGATAACAATTACTGTGGTTTATTTCACTGCGACGTTTCAACAAGATTTCACAAGTCGTTATCAAGCATATAACACAAATAAATAAAATGAAAACAAAATGGCTATATATATATATACACGAGCAGTGCGAACCCTCCAATGGGATGCAAAATCAGCAAGCATGAGCAACTGTCCCAAGCCGTTAAATAAACAATGTACATAGATGGTTATAAACTGTAATTGGTATAGATAAGTGCAGGAATGAAGCCAAAGGATCAAACAATTATTAGCAGGTATAATGAGCCACGAGCAACAGGTCCTGACTGTAAAAACATATTAAATAAATATATATATATATATATATATATATATATATATATATATATCAGTAATTAGTTATAGATGAAAGTTTTTTTACAGTCAGGACCTGTTGCTCGTGGCTCATTAAACCTGCTAAAAACATATTAAATAAAAATATATATATACCTGTTGCCCGTGGCTCATTATACCTGCTAATAATTGTTTGAACATGAATGAGTGGAAAGCGACTGGACCAGACAAAATAACCAAAACTATCCTGAAGACCTGCAGTAGCCAACTTGCTCCTGGCCTCCGTGAGATATTCCAACTATCAATCAACACTGGTCAACTCCCACCAGACTGGATTAATGCCAACATTTCACTGGTCTTTAAGAAGGGGGACGTCCACCTTCCCGAAAACTATCGACCTGTTTCTCTGACTTGCGTGACTTGCAAGTTATTAGAACACATCATTTGCCGACATATCCTTACACATCTTGAAAGGAACAAGATACTGACCAGTCTTCAGCACAGTTTCCGCTCGGGATACTCCTGTGAGACACAGCTACTAACCACTGTTCACGATCTCCTCCAGAAACACGACGCCAACAACCAAATCGACATGGTTATCCTAGATTTCTCGAAGGCCTTCGACCCCGTCCCTCACAAGAAACTTCTCCACAAAATTAGAAACTATGGAGTAGATGGCCCTCTAAACGACTGGTTAAGACAGTTTCTGACCAATAGATACATGCAAGTAGTCATTGAAGGAGAATTCTCAGACCCGGTAACAGTTGACTCAGGAGTCCCCCAGGGAACAGTACTCGACCCGCTGCTCTTTCTGTGCCACATAAATGACCTTCCGGAAACCGTGAAATCACAAGTTCCGTCTCTTTGCAGATGACTGTCTGCTCTACCGCACCATCAAATCCCGACCGGACCATCAAACCCTTCAAAATGACCTCTCAGCTCTTCAAGACTGGGCCGATACCTGGGGAATGAGATTCAATGCAAAGAAATGCTATATCATGAGCATCAATAGTAAGTCTACTAACTTCTATACTCTAAACAATGTTATACTTCAGCAAGTAAAAGAAAACCCGTATCTTGGAGTTACACTCTCTGAAGACCGAAGACCTAAAGTGGGAAACCCACATCACCAGGCTTATAAAGAAGGCGAACTCCTCAGTGGGATTCCTTAAGCGCAACCTCAAGTACTTCCCACAATCTTGTCTTGTAGAAGATCAGTCTACTTAGCGTTAGTTCGTTCCACTCTGGAGTACAGTTCAATTGTCTGGGACCCCTACTTACAAAAGGATATAAACAGACTTGAGAGAGTCCAACGCCAAGCTGCAAGGTTTGTTTCTGGCGATTACAAATCTAAAGATGAAGGCTGCGTCACAAGGATGCTAAAGGACTTAGAGCTCCCTTCCCTTCAAGACAGACGGAAGATGATCCGCCTCACTTTTTTCTACAAGGTGGTTGAGGGGCTGGTCCCAGCTTTCAATTGTGATGACTATTTAACTCCCGCCAAACCCAAACGCCGAATTAAAGCAAAACAGAATTCTGACTTTATAGTTAAAAACATAGTTGAAAACCATGTAACAAACAATTCAAAATGTTTTAAAACAGTGGTATGCAAAACTGATCTTTATAAACACTCTTCCCCAAGACAATTATTGATTGGAACCACCTGGATGATAGCATAGTGTGCGCTCCATCAAAAGAGAGCTTTAAATCAGCTCTATCAAGAACCTAACGCACTCACTCTCCCGTATTGTCTACGATATCACCTTAGGTGGAAGTGGACGTAAAACTCCAGAAACAAACGAACGAACGACTCTCCCGTCGCGTACATGCTGTAACAGGCCCTGCGACGTACAGATTCAGATTCAGATGTCAGGCAATCTAACCTTTGCCGATTCACTGACTCAGATATATTTTTTCTTCCATCTATCTAGCTGTTCTGATTTGCATAATAGCCACTTGTTTCCAATATTTACATGATTTTTGTTCGTTAATGGTTGTCATTGAATCCATGCGTTGACATCACAAAAAATCGATCCGCAGTGAATAGACCATTGAAACAAGGGCCAAAGATATTTTTAGTTTTTCTCTCCCTTTCCCTTTTCCAATGGCGATATTTGTTGACTTTTGGGTGTAGAATCGAAGAAGAGGGCTTGAATGTTTATTTTCTGCCAGGTTTTGGTGAATATTGATGATTTTGAGGCGGATGGATACGAGACTTCAGAGGTTGGTTAAGTTTTTGAGTGAGTTGATGACAAACATTACCGAACGTTAAAAACAAATAATATGGAATCGTCCTCGGATGTATTTGACATGTAGGTCTAGATATCATTTAAAAGTAGGACATTTTTAGGATCTGATAAAAATCAGGATGGTAGACTATTCTGTCACAATAAGAGGTACATTGTATAGTGAAAATCATCTAGTCAAAATTTAAGACAATTTTCATCCCCAAAACTGACTGTTACAGCAGTCACTCCCTAATTAAACATGCAATATGCAAGAGCTAAATCTGCCTATTGCAGATCTTTCTTTAGGCCTGAAATGTTTTCTAAAGTATTAATTAGACATTAATTAACTGATCCAGGCCTTAATCAACTCTTGATGGCATCAGATTTCTCCGATATTAAATAGATTAGAATGGTTCAGCGATACTTTGATTTAATCAGATATGGAGGACCGAGACTTAGCTTCGATCAACCAGTACGGTGGTTGAAATTATTGCACACGTCTGTCAAACCTTCAAAGGCTAATATCTTCGCTTGCAATAGAGTAATTTGAATGAAATTTTCAAATTATTCATTTTACATCATCTACTTTCGAACTATTATAGCAAGAATGGCTAGTTCTTTATCTAAATCTTACATAATGTATCTTTAATTTGACAACCATTAACACCATATCTTGAGTTTTTACACACAATCTATGTAGCCTACCTAATTTTAGTTTCCATACCCATTCTTTTCCCATTCAACAAAATGTTTTTCTCAATTCTTCCATATATATGCCATTTCAGGAGGTATTTCATCAGTAATGTTGCCTTAAAGAATCATTTCAGAAGTAAACTACACAAGAAAAGGTAAATTACAATAAAAATTCAATTAAATTAGAATATGGCTGTTTCTCTGACTTTTAATTTGAACATTTTTACCGGAAAGCCAATAATGAGCTAATCTAATAATAAATCACATAGACAGTAGACTATGATATCAAAGTTTGTTGAGTATTGTTGTAGCAGTTTATAAGAAAGTTTATAGACGGACATGTATTTTAGCACGAAAACTTGTAATTTTAAGAATATTAAAGTTTATAGGGATAAAAGGTATAAAAAAGAAAATTGACTGATTACCCGACTGACCCTATTTTTGTTTTGACTGAAACCTTCTGACCATGAACTTTTTTTCTCATTTCCCAGGTCCTATAACTTACACACAGGGGCTTTAACATTGTTATTTTTCAGGCTAAAGGAGTTATCTATTGAGCCATACACACAGGCCGAAGCTGAGAGAGCAGCAGGGATGGGATCTTATGTAGCTCCTAAACTTCTTGAAGTGAAAACGCAACCAGATAAGGATGACATGATTATGAAAGATGGTTGATAAGTTAATGATGAAAACATCTGTTTTGATTGTGATCATATTCGCAATGTACATAAAAAATACATGTAAATATATGGAATAAAAGATTATTTGATTGGAATTTAGATTATATTTTTGGGATGACTGGATATATTTGGTAAAGACATAATCTTCCAGATTAAAAGGTACAATATAGACATTCATACCATACATAATAAAATGTAATCTTACCAAAAAGCATATTAGTCCATAGAATTTAAATACATGTAGTAAAATAGATCAATGTTAAAATAAGTCAGGCTTTCTAAAGTTAACACTACTTTCAAGTGAATTCACCCTTGCATCTATAGATACTGAATACATAATTCATTACTACACATGAACATGGAGCTCAATGTTTTTTGTTTTAATCAGTTAAATTACCATGTAAAGAACTCTCTTCAGTCTGTATTTAAATTTCTTAAGGAAAATGATTATTGTTTTTCTGACACACCAAGGCTTTAAATTGGAGATATCAGAAGTTACATGTAGAAAAATGCTTGCACGGTGTTGGTGAAAAAAGTGAGATATAATGCTTGTTGGTTGCCATTTAAACCGTACTCGGGATCAGGATTTGATTTGTTATCTGGTTCGACTCAGTACCATACTTGTTTTTGTAAGTAAAAGTTAGGTATAGATGATATGCAAAATAGTTCTCAAGTAGACCTAATGATGATAATAATACCCACCCCGCCACCACTCACCCACCCACCCAAAAAATAGATTTGTAAATGAATAAGAAATATAACGCCAAATCAAAGCTTTACTCATATAATAAACATGGGTTGTTAAAACTCCCTTCAGCAAAGTTTTCATAAATATATTGGAAATTAATTGAACCAACATGATAAATCGATTTTCAGCTATGAAAAATTGAAAGAGTAAGACACAGATGTGACCAAACCCAGTACCCAGCCAAAGTGCAACACCGGTAACAGAAATTGCAAAAAAACATATTCTGTTGCATTTTAACCGCCTTAGAAATAGTAAATAAATTTGTACACATATTCTCAAAATATATATTATTGTTACCTGTATTTATACACACAAATTTAATGTGGAAGTATATTGTCGTCACTCCGGTTGTGGACTCAATCTTGGAAGAGCTCGAAAGGAAAATTATTGAAACATAGAGGGGTATGAAATAAGGACTATTCAAATCGTGTTATCTTTCCGTTCACATATCTACAGGACAAAGTTCTCTATGAAATATTCACTGGACCAGAAGACGGGAACACAGTGCCTTTTGACGTTTAGAATAATGTTCGGAGTTATCTTCCTGGTACGACTTGATCATCGAGATTCCTTTATTCCCACATATTTTTTTTATAAAGCGCTATAATATAGAAATAGCGTCTATTTTAAATGCCATTTATTAAAGATGTGTCTTCTATTCACCCAATTCATTTAATATTCGCTTATCGCCATATCGGTTTTAATAAACCTACGCTGATGAAATAATAAATTATTATTTACAATTTTTCGACCAAAACTAGATTTCAAGACAATTTAATATTGTTTATTTATAATTATCGCGTACAATGCATAAGGAGGGGATTAATAAAAACATGGTAATGTGCGGACTTTCTATTTTTCTTGTGACAGCCAATTCTTTACTCATTCATATGTACGACCTGATTTACTGGAGCGAAGATGTGTCCGCTCAACGTCAAAATCGATAGGGGTCCTACAAAATAAAATTGAAAAGAATCTATGAATTTCGCGACGTTTGATGCCGTTTCTTGGTGTAAAAACATCGGATCTCACTAAAGTCGATAGGGACCCTCTTCGCATTACTACGTACCTAAATAATAAATTTGAAAAAATCCGTACAGAATTTTAGGATGTATTTTGCAGTCAAGCATTGTGAACCGACGGACGTATACAGGCTCGATTGCAAAAGGATCCATGAATTTTACCGCGTTTCTTGGTGTAAAAGCACTGGGTCTCACTAAAATCTAAAATCGATGGAGACCCATTTAGCATTACTACGAATCCAAGTAATGAATTTGAAAAAAAAACCCGCACAGAATGGTGGACCGACGGACGTACAAGCTTAATCGCAATCAGTGGCGTCGTGCAAAAAAAAAATTCGGGGGGGGGGGGGCAATTTTCTACAAGTGTGTTCATGGTAAATTAAGTTTATTGGCCGCGGAGCGTGTGGACGGCACAGGTCTTCTGTCTTAATAATATCAATAAAAATATTTTTATTTCCCTGAGTTTTTTTTTTGGGGGGGGGGGGGCAATGGGCACGACGCCACTGATCGCAATATACCCCCACAACAAGCGATTATTGATATAAGAATCAAAGCGTTCTGTGAATCATTCTTTCTTGGTATTTACACTCAATCTTTCTAACAGGAAGTGGTCCAGTCACATACGCACGCATCAGACGGAGCAGATTTTTATGTTTCATAAATGGTATTTCGTTCCAGTAAGTCAGAACGTACATTTCTGAAACGAATAGTCGCATTTTAGCATTCGGCCGCTTTGGCGACAAGAACCACTATGCACAAGTTTTAAGTTGATTATGCTTTAAACTTTGGCAGGAAAGAGCTAGAAGCTGATAATATGTAACACTTTCTGGCATGTCTTGGGAAAATTGTCTTTCTTCAAAAGACTTCTCATTGACAAACAAAGCGAAATATAATGAAATCGGGTTTCAGCACCGACTAGGCTAATGAAGACGGGCAAATACCATACAGCTTGCTATGAAGGAAATTTTGCCCGGACAATGGTGCTACGACCTACTCTTATATCGATTTTAAACTGCCGAGGGATCTTTTACGTACACGCCAATGTGTACACGCGACCTCGTTTTTTCGTCACACCCGAAAGACTATTCGTTATCGTTGGCCAGGATCTCCGTCCTGCACCACAGACCACGCCGGAACATCCCAATGATATTTTTCGGCGAACACTGGGATAGAACACAGGACCTCCAGGTTAGCGACAAAATGAGCTTCGCCAAGTTGCGGTCATTAACGGCTTATTCCGATCACAAAAGAAACGCTCTCAAAAAAATTACAAACCAGATGTATAATTTTCGGCACATAAAGGCCTAGATTATATCGCTACCATGGAGACCGGTAAACATCACTGCTTGGGATTTTGTACTAGACTGAACCACGATACAAGAAGATAATTTTTTTAAAGGACGTGAAATATATTTAAATACTTATTTCGCACCAGATATTAGTATTATTATTCACGATTAAATATAGAACGGATTTGTCACTTGACAATTGATTGCAACCAGAAAATAAATATAATTATATTTATGCTCAATAGGCCTACTCTTTATTGGAATAAGAAATTAGATAATATAGATGAATGCCAAAAGTAACAAGCGGTTGTCATGCAAGATACGCCCACATAGTTTCATCAAAAAAAATGGTGATCTATAGAAGGTCAACAACTTTGGTATACTTTTACACTATTGCTATTTGCGTACGAGGAGCGGCCATTTTGTTGGGTGGTGTCAGTCCGATTTTCACAAAATATTCGAACTCAACCGTCATAAGGGTGCAGCGGTGACATTTGAAGGGCTTTTAAAATCAGATAAACATTGTGGGCTATAGAGGGTCCACAAGCTTAAAACGCGGTTTTTCGTACAATCAGGGGCCATAATCTATGAAGTTACGGTCCGATACCTGCCAATTTCGAAAGGAACCGTGACCTTCGAGAGATAAACCTATATTTTAAGTTTCGTCAAAATCGGATACAAAATGTGACCTGTAAAGTGCCCACAAACAAATTGTGGACGGATGGAGGGCCGTTGGGACGTACAGGGACGACGACAATATACGTCCACTTGAAAATTTGCGCGTATAAAAACTAATATCTAATTTACTGTTCAATGGACATTGACATTCAATGTGTAGTGATTTTGATGTCTTTTTTTCAGGTCCCTATTGTAGCCTAGAAAGAAAAATGAAAATAATAATATTAGGTATCTCATTCAGTGCCAGATGTAGATGAAAAGAGGCCCTAGTCTATTCAACTTATGCGGCCCCTCCCTGCCCCCCCCCCCCCCTTACGACTGGAGGGAGGTGACGGATATTTAAGACTACAGTGCGTGTGGGGAAGGTTTATAACAGTATGAAAAATATTATACACCTTGGTCGGAGGCCCCATAGATATTGAGACACAGGCTTTAGCTTGTGAAGCATATACTCGACACTGATCTCCTCACTCGGTAAATTGTTTCAAATGATATCGACAAGAGTATTTAAAATTACTATAAACTTTACACTAATTACACCAGCGGCTTGTCTTGTCTTATAATAATGACTTATTGCTAGTATGCACTAACAAAATTCACCCCAGCCTTGTAAGACATATATAAGTGTGTTGAGATTTCAAATGCCAATCTATTTCATATCATGGGTTTTATTAGCTGATGACCATTACTTTATCATATTTACATACATTAATATACAATACTTTATACTAATAAATAAAATAATGTGATGTTTATAATCTCGTTAACATAAGATGTCTGTACAGTGGGGTTATCATGATATGTCAATCATGCTAAATTTGATTAAATCGCCATGTTATTCTATAATACAGTTGTATATTTAAGGTACCACAAACTAAGAGATTAGAAATCGAGATATACGCTTCGTGACAACAATTCCTTAAAGGGGCATTAGATATAGAGCTGACAGTTCTCGCTATAATAGTTGAAAATACATAATGAGAACAGAATATGCTGAAAAATTCAGTCAAATTGCTTCATTTTGAACTGAGATATTATCGATTCAATTTTAGGCTAGCCTCGATCGGCATTATTAACGTTGGTACGATAATAAACAAAATCTCGATTATTTATTTTTACATTAAATTATCCATCACAAAATGTATTCAAATCCACTAAATATCGCAAGCTAACGATGGTCTGGAGAAGTTAATTAATCTCTAATTAATAATTTAGATAACATTTCAGACCCAAAGAAAAACCCGCAATAGGCAGATTTAGCTCTTGCATAATGCATGTTTAATCAACAGTAGCCCAAGAAGATGCCTTTCTACCGCCAATTAATTGTCTTCTTAACAACTATTCGGGATTGCTAATGGTTCTTCTTATGCTTGGTCACACCCCATCTGGGATTATCAAAATAAGATATTTCCTAAATCTATTCCTAATGTCTATTCGAACACAAATCTGAACACAAAAGACCGATACCATGTAAGAATAAGTATACACGTATATAACTTAACACGTGTAAATGAACCGAGATTATGTGTTTAAAAAATAAATTTATGTACACACGATTGCTGCACAACTTAGTTATTTACACCTATATTCATAATAACTCTCTGTACAGCATGCGCATAAAGTAAATACAAAAAGAAAATGTCAATGTCCGTATAGATTTCCATCATTTTTCAATCACCTAGATTTAAAATATTCTTCCTAATCAAATATATGTCTATAATGACTATAGCAATTACGTTTAAATAATCTTTTTAAAAATAAAACAATTCACATTCTAGTATTGCTCTCTTCCTTCGCCTGCAGTTCCCTCCGCTATAGAAGCTTGGTCTTGTTCCGATTCTTTAGTTGATTTTTGTGATCTGGTACTTGAATTCTTATCCAAATGTTTGGATCTAGGTTCTGGATCTATGCGGGAAGTGGAGAAAATGATCCGCTCTGGTGGTTTACTGTATGGTGTTGTTACCGTCGACGGTGATGGACCTTTTCTTGAGGAACTGGTCTGGCGATCAGTTTGAGCCCCCATTGGCCGACCACCTACCACCGAGTCTTGGGTGAGCGTTGTCCTAGATCGTAACAATGGTGGCCGATGCAAATCGTTTCTCGCCCTTTTAATGATTTTTCTAACGGGAAACGATTTGTATGATGCTTCCACTCGACTGTTTTGTGAAGACGGATCCGAGGATGGGCGTTTGGTCAGAACCAACTTAGATTTCGTGTTTTCAATGGACTGTTCTTCTTTATCTTGTCCCTTGAGGGTACATTTCGAGGACAATACACTGGACAGATCAGTGACGTCCTGCTCCCTACATCGTCTTGTGATGTCCGAAAGTATTCTTTGCTGTTTACCTAAGCGTCTTTTTTGAAAACTGTTAGATAGTTCCATTATTGCCATTTTGTCCGGTGTGGGTAGTCGCTGTTTCCCATCTCTACAATAATTAGTTGTATGCAGTAGATTTACTTCTCTGAAACCGGTGTTGCTCCTTAAGAATGGCGGCAAATTGTCTTGTTCACAAATTTTAACTTGCGTTTGAAACATTGTGTGTTATTTTTTGTTTTCACTGACTTGATGATCTTAACTACGTTTTCAAATTCCTTTTAATGATAACCAGAAATATATCAACATTTAATCCAGGTAACACAAAACCATGGTTGTCAGTCACTATTTAATTTGGTATTTTCAGCGAGTCTTTAAGTTTCTATATCTATCACAAATCTATCATCCACCGTTATAAATCTATCTCAACCACAGGTAGTATTTGACAGAATATCTTAATGGATAAAGGATCTCAAATATCTACTCACATGGCCATTATTTCTTGAATTGATCTTAACATTTGTGTACTTCAAACGTTGAAGCACTTAACCTTAATCATCCAGGTCGCTGTACACATTTATATATCCTATACTGAAGTCAGTTCACATTTTGAATAAGTCATATTCGTCTTCTTTTAATATAAATATTTAAAAATTTATCTTGACGCTTGACAAAAAGCTTTTAAATTAGTTATGTTTTAAAATATTCGACCCCACGCAGAATTAACCCAGGAGGAAATATTACTCCTGTATATATGTTGACACATCGACAAATGACAAAAATGTTCACTAAAATACATTCACGTATTTATCGACTCAAGAATCTGTGACGTTTTACACATAGCCTACTGTTCGTTCACATAGGAGGTCTGGTAAAAAATCGCATTCTTTACTTCCTCGACGTGATTTGATCCTCGGGACACTCTGTGCAGGTCGAATGATGTTTCCTGTAGGTGCCAATTTACAGCCATAATATGTTTACACGTTCTCCTTCGAAACGAACCAATAACAATATCTAAATCATGAGCAAACACAAGTAATATGTAATAGCATTTGTTAATTACTTGACCTTGTAATAAAGCTAAGAATATTATAAATAATAACCTTATTATTGTTAATCTCCCGGTTCTTGTGTTGTATTAAAGAGTATTATATACTTAGTACGCCTGACTACGCATCAAAGATAGATTTAGACCCACTTCAATTTTCTTACTTGATAATGTAACAACACTAACGTATTATGCCGGGCTAGTATATAGACAATTAACCACTCTATTGTCAATTGTCTGCAGTGTGACTTCTAATAAGATTTGTAACTTATTAAAGGGATTTAGACAACAATGTGGATATTATTTAAGCACGATTGGGATTTGTTGTGTACTGGTTTATCGTACAGGTTTATATCTCGACTAAGATACTAAATCGCTTGCAGTGTTATTCAATAAAGGAATATCTGATTCAGATACAAACATTATAGACATTGAATTGTGCAAAATGACGACATGGGCATCTTTTTTTAACATATCATGTTGTCTGTAAATTTGTTTACTTGAAACTGTAATAAATGGTGTATATTTATTGATAATATTCACAAAGAATTGGATTTGTGAAGTATGTAATGATATTTTGATGAAAAGTCTTTGTTTAGAAGGAAACGTGTCCACAGATAAGGTAATATCTTGTCGTGTTTTCTAGTCTTGATATTATGTCCATAGTTGTTGTGGACGTATATTGTCGCGAGCTCCGTCCCGCATCCGCCCTCAGTTTCTTGTGAACACTAATCTTCAGGTAGTGTCCATTGATTCATAAAAAAATGAAATGAAATGGGGTTTAACGTCCTACTGTTTTGCTCCGAACTGGGCTAATGAAGACGGGCATACGCCATACTGTGTGCTATGCTGGAAATTTTGCCCGGACAGCGGCACTACGGCCTACTCTTATATCGAATTCTTTTACGTGCACGCCAATGTGTACACGGGACCTCGGTTTTTCGTCTCATCCGAGACCTCGGTTTTTCGTCTCATCCGAATGACTAGACAGCTGTCCTTGCCAGGCCCTCCGTCCTGCATCACTGACAAGGGGGAACCACGCCGGAAAATCTGGATGAACTTTCTCGGCCAATGCAGGGATCGAACACCCGACCTCCAGGCTAGCGAGCCAGCGCCTTACCCACTTAGCCATCGTGATCCCCCATATTGATTCATAAGGACAAGGTTGCCTATAGACGTATGAAGTGGCTTTGATTTGTGAAATGAACTTGAAATGTAAGTCGGCTTAGAGACAAGAACACAAACCTCCATTTTACATAAACTATAGCTCATTTCGGGACTGACATTCAGAGAAGTGGTATCAGGTGTTCCAGAAGAGTAAGCATACGCTGCATTTTGCTTCGCATCCATCGCTAATTATAGCTGATTGATTCGATGGTTTGATAGTTTAGACCTAAAATTCAAAATCCGAATAGTAGAAAATAGCTTTATTTCAATTACGCGCTTGCGTGCAGAGGCATTTAGTAGTCAGGGGAAGCTGGGCAACCCAGAGAAGACCCACGAGGTTACAGATAGGCGGCTCACTCCTTAAAAGCCTTGAATGGAAACAACGACCACAATGACAAACCTTAATGAAAACCAAAGCCTTGACCCGATTTCAGATCCGTTTGCCATACAGCCACCCCACATAAAAAAAAAGAAATTCTGCTCGCAAACCTTTTAGTTTACTCTCAATTTCAATTTTCCATATCGGTATGAATAGTGACTACGCCCTTTAACTATTACACATTGTTTATAGGGTCCGGCAATATTGTGTAAAATTTAATATTGGAACTTTAAACTTTGAGAATATTGATTACAATAGCCCTTTCCCTACACCCAATTAATTAAATCTATTTGTACTAACTTGGTTTCACTCTATCCGTACTTGTTCCCCAAGAAATCAAATCAAGAACATATGTTTTTGTATTTATTGTAGAAAAGGTGAAATGTATGATTAATAAGAATAAAGTTGAGATACTATACACATTCCTTTATACAATTCATGTACATCACAGTTTAACACTATCAGAGTTTATCTCTTCTTCGGCCATATTCTTATCTGGTATAGGTGGCGCAATATTATCAAAAGAGTTATCGTACATGCTTCCATATTGAATGTTATCATTAGGTAACATTTTCTTTTTTAACTTAATTACTTTTGCGTATTCTACTTTGTCGGGTGGCCGCTGAATTAGAGAGGAACTGGAAGCAGCGTTTTGGACATTACTCGAATTCTCGGGCTTCACTGATATTTTTGTTGGATGTAGTAAAGCTGAATCATTAAACTCATTGATATCAGCATACCCAAAACTAGATGAACGGACCTGGCGGGTTTCGTCTTTCTCTAAAATATCATTCAAATCTACATCTTCATACTCCCCCGCTGAGCTTAATACCCTAATTTGTGTAGATCTTGGGTTTTCCACAATCTCATTTCCAGTAACTGGACGTGAAACCTGTACCGCCTCGTAACCGCTAACAGGTTCTGCTACGCCAGTAGATTCCACTTTGCCTGAACGGATTCGTTGATATCTTGGATCTGTTGCGAGACTATTAGGTCGCTTAACGCCCCTTGAATCGGATTCTACCTCAAAATAGGGAGGCTCTACAAAGCCTTGGTTGTTCTCTCCACCAGATTCACTCGAACTATCGTGTTTATTGTTGCTGGCTTTACGTTTTCTGTAAATAAGTATAATTCTAAATTATTAGTTGGTAAGCATAGCAATAGGCATATTATGAAAATATCCAAACCACATTAAAATATATACGGCTTAAAATCACATGCCCTTACTATCATGGGCTTACTGAAATGAACTTTAAATTAATCACACTTCCGACAAATAAAATACAAACAAAAATTAATACCTGTAAATGATTATAATGATGACTAACAGAGCCAGTAAAAGAAATATACTTCCAATTATAGCACCAATAATACTTCCATCTAACCCACCTTAAACAGAAACATCAAATTAGCTCTTACTCTAATTAAAATATTTGTACAGACTTTACGATATCAGTTCGTCTTGATTGGACAGATTGTATAATCCATACACTGCTCTAACTCCTACTTTATTCTTGTCTCCAGAGAAACCTTCTCAACACAGAATTAAATGTACGTCAAAAAAACAAATTCCGTCTTACGTGGTTAACCAATTAGCAACTTGAAAACAAAAACAAGTCCGATAGTATAATATGGACAGAAACTAAGGATGACTTCGTCACCGCCATCTTGGCATATCAAATCGATACTCAATTATCTAAGTTTTATGTTGATTGTACTTGAATTGGCGAAGCCATGTGGTTTTTGAAAGAGCGTTGCACGAAGAACAAGAACAACAAGATGGACAGCCATTGGGATCCAGTTTCGGGCCCAGAAACGCTTATCATTATCGATGCACTTCATCCCCATTTCATGACTCCCTGGGCTCTGTAAATATGTCAAACCCGTATACAAATGTGTAAAGGTAGATCTTACCAAATTATAATACAATTACCAGTGTGGTTCACCTTGTCAGTGGTGTAGAACGGAGAGATATCATCTAGTCGTTTGGATGGGACGCAAAACTGAGGTCCCGTGTACATGTTTGCATAAAGAACCCTGACAGTTGCCATTCAGTTGCTGTCCGGGCAAACTTTCCCTTTATGGCATATACCTGTCTTCCTTAACCCGGTTGGTACAGAAAGGTAGGCCGTTAAACCCAATTTCAGTCATTCATGTAACACACATGACTGACTGGATATACTATATGTGAAAAAAGAGAGACCAAAGTTATCTATATCTACTTGTAGTACTTTGTAAAATCGTACCTTTTTGTAGAGATGGTTGTGGTGTTATGTTTTCTGCCGGGGTTGTATCTGGCAAATTGTTAGTAACTGGATAAAAATTAATAAATATGTTAGTTTAAAAATTCTACCCATACCACAATTCATGCATTTGTTTTCTTTTTACCAATAGTGACAAATGAAATACTGTTATGTGCAAGATTTTACTAGAGCAGGCCTTAGGACACTTTAAGTAAAACTGGTTTTAAGTACCATACACAATATATACTCCAAAATATGTCGAAACAGCCAATTTACCTTGTTTGAAAATTTCAAATCCAAAGATTGCGCTGAATATGTAAATATTTTCAGGATTTTTATTCTCCAATAGTATCAAGTATATAGACACGGTTATCTACACAGCATGATCTTGTAAACCCCACATGAAACTGAAAATTTGTATTTTTTTTCGAAATCGTATTCTTTAAATAAAATAGCCCTGTCGTTATTTTTGCTCTTACAATGACTATGTGCATGTGCATTTCGAAATCGTCATGAGTCATTCCAGCAAATGGTTAGCAGTTACATGTGTAAGAACCCATGTCTAACATTAATATAACACAATTTAAATGTAAATTTTAAGATACATATAAAAAGGTGCTTGAAAGGTAATAACTCAATACTATTTAGAGTATACGGCGAAGTTTTGTAGATATATCGAATCAACCCCATCTGTTTCCAATATTTTAATTTTGATAAACATGTCCTAGTAGTATTCGCGATGGCTAAAACGTCTTAAGTTTACCTTGGGTCTGCTGCATAGACGATTGTGATACAGATGTTCCTACTGTAATCCCTCCAATTGTGGTTTGAGTTACAGATGTAGAAACTGGGGTTCCTGATTCAGAATGAGTCATAATCGTCTGCTGTTGAGTAACGCTTGTGTTAGTATGCCCATTCGTTGTAGGGTTAGCAGTTGTGGTTACACCCATAGGACTGGTAATCGTGGTCTGTGTTGTAGTGTTAACAAGTGTGTACTCTGTGGTTAGATTAACTGTTGTGTTAGCATGCCCATTCGTTGTAGAGTTAGCAGCTGTGGTTACACCCATAGGATTGGTAATCGTGGTCTGTGTTGTAGTGTTAGCAAGTGTGTACTCTGTGGTTAAATTAACTGTTGTGTTAGCATGCCCATTCGTTGTAGGGTTAGCAGCTGTGGTTACACCCATAGGACTGGTAATCGTGGTCTGTGTTGTAGTGTTAGCAAGTGTGGACTCTGTGGTTAGATTAACTGTTGTGTTAGCATGCCCATTCGTTGTAGAGTTAGCAGCTGTGGTTACACCCATAGGATTGGTAATCGTGGTCTGTGTTGTAGTGTTAGCAAGTGTGGACTCTGTGGTTAGATTAACTGTTGTGTTAGCATGCCCATTCGTTGTAGGGTAAGCAGTTGTGGTTACACCCATAGGATTGGTAACCATGATCTGTGTTGTGGTGTTAGCAAGCGTGGGCTCTGTGGTTAGATTAACTGATGTGTTAGCAAGTGTGGTCTTTGGGGTTAGGATAACCACCGTGGTTCCTGTTAATAAAGGATTATTAGGTACGGTTCTTGTTAAATATACCGTTTTAAAAAGTACAGATAACCGGAACCATTAATACCGGTTTAAAAAGTACAATTAATCCAAATCATTAATAAAGTATTAATCAATATACCGGTTTAAAAAGCACAATTCGGTGAAATAAACGTTTATAGATTTTACAGATATAGTACTCCTCCGTCAAAAAATATATTTTGCTATTTGTCCGCGCGGTCTAATAGACATTATAACCCCAGTAACCAGAGTGTGTATCATCATAGTGACATAATTGGCATTGTCAGAAAAATAACGGAACCATGAACGACATGATATCTATCATTTGTGCGTATCAATATTAGTGTTTCTTTCTCATTAGAAGATCGACCCAAGAAAATGTTTATCATTATAAAATGACATAATTGGCATTGTCAGAGGTGTATCCGTATATTGAATGATTCGATATCGCTCATCAATTGCGCATACCCATATTAGTTTGTACTTAAAATAATGGATGTGAAAGACGAAAATTGTCCAGTACGTTAAAGCAAAAATGCATGATTCAGATATTCAATTAATATTTATATCACGCTGATCTACATTATATTTTAATGGTCGTTCGACAAAATACCAAATATGTGGTTTTATAATGATGAACAACTTCTTTAAACGGTTTAACGACCCCCTAAAACGGTATAAAACAGCCTTCAAAGAACGATGACAACTGGAAAGAGGTTTCTATTATTTTCAATCCATTTAACCGCCCAGTTATAGAACTAATTTTGAGTTCTCTAAATATGAAATTTCATGCAGCATTCTCGTGCCCTTGTTTTGCTCAAATGGAATATAATGGAATATAATTGGTATAGCCAAACAGTGGGCCTAACTAGAAAGAATTATAGCGAGCGCTATTCCCAAGTGTGTATTTTCGCCGAATTGTCTCCTTAAACAACGCACACGTGTGATTAGTAATACATGTTATCTCCCTTGACCCATTCGTCAACTACATTTAAATTAACAAAAAAACATTTTTTAAAAACATACCTTCAGATTGATTTTGGGATGATTGTGAATAATTATATCCAGCGGTGGAAACACTGGTACCAGTGTCTAAAACAAAGACAAAACATTTTATATGCCTTTTTAAATAAAAAGAGAGCTACATTTTAACTTGACCAGTTCGAATATCGATACAATAAGATTTTAAAGTTTAAGAATACACTGTTCTGTTTAGTGCATTGGGATCATTTCCTACACATGATCGACGGTTAGATTTGGGGTACCTCGTTTGTCCCGGGGGTCACTTCTGACACATTCAACTATGGGCGTTTACCCCGTCTTTAAAAGAGCGGAGCGGGTTCCGATTCCCCAGACACCATTCAGAGTTCCTAGAGATATCATGCAGATTCTTAGGCGGTAGCTTTGGTCCTTGACAGTCATTGGGTCTCATAATAGCTGTTATATTACTTTTATACAGACAAGGATATAGAACAATAAATTTTTCCCATGTTTTAACAATTAGAAAATACAACGTGAAGTCAATATTGAAGTCAAAATATTGAAGTTCAAGAAAGACGAAACCAGTAACGCTAGATAGCCTCGCACTACTCTTTTTGAAGACCATAGTGCACAGAGTAGTGTAACGTCTGTTATTTGGGGCGTGCCACAGGATCGCAGTGTCACACATGTATGACCTATTAAAGATCTGGGGGGTTGGATGTCCGAATGGTTAGCACTGCTAAAGACCCCTACGCGCAAGCGAATTATTGAAATAAAATTGAATCATGTGTTAGTCCCGAAATGACCTGGTTTGTGTCGAGTGGACGTTAAACCCCATCTCTCGCTCTCTCTCTCTCTCGCTCTCTCTCTCTCTCTCTTTCTCTCTCTCTCTGAAACCCGCCAAAAAATCCCGAGGAACTTTGATGAAGTTTGCAAGCAAACGTCCTACTCACTGGGCCACCAACTCCCACTTAATTTCGAATCCGGACACGGGGCCTCGTTTTTTTAAATCCCATTCGAACGACTATACGTTGTCCCTTGCCAGGACCTCCGTCTTACACCACTGACAAGGGTGAACCCTGCCAGAAAAATCACGACGAACTTTGATGAAGTTACTGAGCAAACGTCCTACTCACTGAGCCACCGTAGCTGCACTTCATTTCGAATCCGAGCACGGGACCTCGTTTTTTTTATCCCATCCGAACGACTACACGTTGTCCCTTGCCAGGTCCCCCCGTCCTTTTATATAAGGAAATTGAATACTAATAAATAGCTTACCTGTAAGTCTACTAGATGTTGGTTTAAGCTGTGTGTTGACACAATCTAACTGGAGAAATGAACCACTTCTAGCTATAAAGACAATTCAAATCATGTCACAAAAAGATATCGGAAAATTTAACGATTCTATAATATACGGAATTGTTTTATTTTGCAGAACATTTAATTTCAATAATGTTGGGTGATATACACCAATAACCTTTGTAAAACAGTGTATAACGTAACAGTTAAAATTTGTGATGATATTTATTAAATATACCAATAGACGTGGTACACTAACCAAACTTTTAAATATTGCTTTCTGATTCTAGTCGCCAATAGCAGTCAAATCCATAATATAATAATGTTTAATATTCTCGATTTTATGATCTGATATTTATATCACACTCTTCAATTTGCTGTTTTGGCATAGAAAGAAATATTTACACATTTAATCAATCGATCTGGGGAAAGATCACGATTAATCACGATAAATAAACCATCCTTATTACATGTCATTGTAATTGGAGATACTCCTAAATTTGTCTTCGCAAACAAAACCGCCTCTGTGAAATTATATTTCATGGGCGCCGCCATATTGAATAATTAGAGGACTATTTTGTGATTCGGCTTTGATTAGTTTGACATCTTTCATACACACAGCGGCTAAATAAACATATTTAATTTCATTCAATATGACAATAGAAGAGAAATAAATACTTCTAAAAATTACTAAAAGCATACTCAGTGTTAACGACTAAAATCGTCGATGTAGGAATTAAAATGTCTGGTGATTAGATTAGGGTCTGCTCTCAGGCGGAGCTAGCTGTAGACAGGCAGCCTAAGTTAGGGATGGCGCAGATATCTAGTAGGTATATCTCGCAGATGTACTAGAAAATGACAAGGATTCAGCAACTTCCAAACATTTCCCATGGGCGGGCGGGCGGGGTGGGGGGGGGAGAAACACTTGCGCACCCTAGAATTGAAATTCTGCCAAGTTCCCACGCCACTGCATTATTATGTTAACAAAGATAGATGTCAATAATAGGTTGATAATCTATCAACTTTTTGCGAAGTTGATTAATCCCAAACTTACCTTTAAATTCAAGTAGATGTTTTTCATTATTGTGATTTCTACTATTATATTTAACAACCAAATCTGCTATATCTCTATATATTATTTTATTTGTATTTAATTCTACTGTAGTTGGTGGATTAAAGGATAATCTATCACGTGTAGAGTTGATTGTAGATTGATTAATATACAGAATTTTAACCGTCTGGATATCACCATAGACAAGACAACCACAGTCATTCTGTGATGATGATGGTGACGTCATATATAAAGTAGATAGAGAATTGTTGATAGTTCTAACTGACTTGGAACAAACATTATACACTAATTCGTCTGAAAAAAGGAAGATCAAAACACATGACGTATCGATTCATTTTGTGGATTATGAACATATTTCGACTCTCTTGTTTCCCGATACGATATGCATGTACCACGATTATTCTGTTAGATATCGTGATTTATATAACTAATAAGTCTGTATTAATTAATGTAAGGATAGATACTTGTTAGTGTAGCCTCATTTTAACACAATAATAAAAACTTACTAGTAAGACATCTATAAACGACGTTTGCTCCCATATTAGGCCAGGTATATTGACAAGCTTCACGTGTAAAATTATACAGTAAAGATGGATGACATTCTTGTTTTTCTAAACATAAATCATTTAATCTATTCTGTTCTCTTGGTATATTTACAGGTAGAAGACCACCAGCTCCCGGACAAGAGGCGTACTTTACGATTTTAAAATATTCCACCGAGTCTACATAAACTATAGACTTGTTTGGACAGAATATATTCGTTGTCCAAGTGGTATCGTTTGATCCATATTTAGTGTCTGTTGTTAGTTCATCTGAAATCATAATTAATATATGTCATGTTTACACGAATGAAGGTCCCGGAAAGATGAAATTGTGGGGTCTGTCCATTCATGACTCCAGTGCTTTATACCAAATTTGAAAAATAAATCCATACAAAACTATAGTCCCAGTCGCGTTAACAAGGTTATTGGCTGAACCGCTCACGACCCCAATGCTTCACTCCAAGTTAGGAAGAAATATGTTTTGGGACACATGGGAGAGGTAACTCGGGAACGGAAGGTCGCGTGGCGCTGAAAATCTATAAGGTTCGTCCTAAAAAAAAACCAGAAAAAAACCCTATAAAACCTGTAACCTCTAGGGAAAGATACCCCCCCCCCCGCAGAATTTTAGTTTGAGACCACAAAATTTGAATTAGTACACTCTTTTAAACAGCCACGCTTGATCTTCTGAACAGTGGCAATTGAAATTACCATTATCCGTTAACTTTGTTTTCTTTCAAATCGATATTTATCTCAAACGCTACACAATTATTGTTACCTTTACAACTGTAGAGTATTTATAGTGTAATGGTTTAGGACATTTTAATTCCCCACTACAAACATTTTTATACAAAACTTATATTTTTGATAAAATAACTGTACTTATATTACCTGAATCACGTAACGTTTGATTTTTTTCACATGTAAATGTTATCTCAGCTGATACAGATTTGTTACCTTTACAACTGTCTAGTATATTATAGTTTAATGGCTGGACACATTTTCCATATTGACCTTGACATACAAGATTTAAATCAGAATCTTCTTTTCCAATCGACCTAGAACAATTCCCGTTTTCACCACAACCACCAGTATATATCATCCGATCAACTGATATTTTATGATCAGATTTACAGTCAAGCAACACATTACTTGTATCGTCTATATTACATTTTTTTAGGGTATATCCACCACAAGCTGAAAAAAAAGCTTGCAAAGTAAATCTTGATGCAAAATGGTTGGAAAATGTCACATTCAAAATTAAATGATACATGACCTTCGATTGTAAGATACGATTTTCGGTTAATTAGGTCTTCTTGAAATACCTAGTTCAGTGACGGCAAATATCTGGTTCTACATAAGTCACAAAATCCCCCCCCCCCTCCTCCCAATCAGCAAATCCCTAGAAAAATGGACACGTAGTTTGTAAATTAGAAATCAGGATGAAATCTTTTCAAATTTGCCAATCAACTATCCCGGGTGTCAGTCTCTGCCGCATTCACTTTAATGGGCGTTATCTTTAAGGGAGATAGCTTGGATTTCCCAGACATCATTACGCCACGATGTAGAGATCTTCAAGTTGGTCCCCAAATCAGCTGGCACAGTCTGGAGGCTCAGAGATAAGTTAGGTCTCAGTTCAAAGCTCGTGGGAACTTCGACTATATATAATTCGGATGAACCTATTTTTACTCTTGCCAAGCTAAGGGGATACTCCTAACAATGTAGATTATCTGCCTTCAAGTATGTATAACGACATGAAACATGTATCCACCATTTAACTTGTAATTTTATGGAAATAAATTTGAATCATATTATGTCAGTCAATAAAATGATCAAGTTTGTGTTGAGTGGACTTTAATATGAACATTACATACATACAAAAATGGTTATACGTACTTTTCTGTAACAATGAAATTATTACGAATAAATAACACAGTTGAACAGTTGTATGTTTATTCTGTATTGGACACTTCCTTGTTAGATGCTTCTCCATTTATATGATATGTCCAGTAACTAATCCATCAATACAATCAAAACTCACGAATAGTACTAATAATCCAATGTAATGTTATGGGAAGACTTTATGTAAACACATATTATATCCTTGTTGATATTAGTTATGACACAATAATCTGGTAAGCCAATAATCCCTTGAAAGTAAAATGTTATGCTATGTTTTAAGAAAGCAAATGAATTGCACAGGTCGGTAACGTACACTCTTTAGAAATCTTTAAAGATGAGGAAGTAACTTATGAAGTGTGTATCTGATATATTACTTTGATATAATAATTATCGATAGGTATGTCACGCCTGGTGGATTTTGACATATTGATAGATATCTTAATATTCGTAAGCACCTGACATTTGACGATCTATTGATGATTCATAAATGAATATTAAATGTGGAATATCGTTCTAACTTCAATCAGTTTAACTCTCCATCCCTATAACTGGAGAAAAAGACGGACCCTAATATAATATTACAAATAGTCCACAAATCTTAAGATTAAAATAATTGCATAATTTGAATCGAATTCCTGTTTGAGAATCCAGAACCGTGAATGGCCAGTTAGTTTGATGTCTTGACTTTTCTCGGAATTATCATAGCTGGCTGTTCAATATGTTTGATAGATTTATACTGGTGTTCACCACTTGCCCCCTCCCCACATTTTGTATGCGATATTTGTTAACAAAAAGCTAAATATAGAAGTTTTTAATGTTATTTATCTTAGTTCAACTATTTGTTTGTGTAATCCCTATTCTGTCGGGTCGTGTGAATAAGGATAAATAGGGTATGGGTTACAATGAAAGTTATAAACATAGTCTTTGTTCTGTTATTCTATAGCAAAGTTTTCTATATTCTTCTATTCGAATAACGCCCAGATAAAGCTTTACAACAAAATATCATAGACCGATTCATAAGCCATTGACACTGCATACGTAGATTGTACAACCCTTTATATGTATATCATTATGTACTGAATACCTGGAATAATTTTACTATGTAGAATTAGAGTTTGGATTAAACGGTATTTGTATCGTATTGTAATCTACCTAATAAACGCTATAAAAGGACAGTGGCTATTAAACGAGGAATGAAGGGGTGTACAAATTCGTGCCCCACAGCTCAAAGCTATATACATAATCAACCTAAGCTTATACATATATAATCCCGACACATGGGTAATTAGACAGAGGACACATTTAATTTTTCGTTCCCACAATTAAAACACAACTACCATTTTATATTGGTTTGTTATCCACACATGTATAGCACACGACCTTTCTACAAGACAGTGTTCTTTTATCGCCTATATGTACTCTAACCTCAAAGGTTTATTTACGTTTCTAGACGGCGCTAACCATGGCATTTAGGGACCGGCTCTTCCACCTGTCGATGACGTGTGATTCAATATGCAACAGAAGCTAGGCTAATGCCAGTCAACGCCTATCATCGCGAACCGTTACTTACTCAAAAATTACGCTTAATTCAATTTAGACTCTGGTAAACGAGTCCTATGAAGCTTGACTTATTTGGAGATTTAATAATATCATGGCTACCCTAGACGCCTGACATATTCCACTCAATTGCTCAGATACGCACGTGTAGTCCAGGCCCATTAAATAACTAATTCCGATATACGTTTGTGAGAGTTATGGTGACCCCCCCCCCCACACACACACACACCGTATAAAACCAGATGGAAATTTTAAAACAAGTTATTTCTCTTTTACGTTTTATTTTCCATGTATTATATTTGACGACGCGCAGGTGTATTTTTTCAACGACTAAATCGAATATTAGTTTGGATAAAATAGCATCAAATTTGTATACAGCCAGATAGTCGGTTACCACATAGATAAATGATGCTATTTTGACCATTTTTATAAATTTTCCGAATCCCTTGATGTCGGGTTGTTGGGTTGTCGCCTTATGAAGGGCGACACCACGATATCACGACATGATACCAATCAGCCACCATACTTTGTTACTATTTTATCAGTAATAATCTTAGTGAATTCCCATCAGAAATAACACTACCAACATTAACATCTAAAATCCATTATTACAAGACTAGGCCTTGTTTCCAAATTTCAGATAATAAAAGATATAAGTAGCGGCTAATTTTGATAGTTCATAATGGCCATGACAATATTTCGGTACTCTAAAAAGCAAAAGAACGATGTATCTCAACCCTACATAAAATAACAATACTAAATAAAAATGATGTGCCTTGGTACATTACATTTATATTGCTGAAAAATTAAAAGTAGGAACACCTCACATAAACATTTTCTTTTCAAATCTTAATTACGTTGATCATCGCTGAAGTAATCATAACGGGTTTGATTGGTGAATTAAGCTGAGTCAGTATTAATATTGATATAAGGTGATAACTGGGTATATATTGGTGGATCTGGACTGTGACGAGTCTGAGAATCAAGTGACTGATAAGCCGATTCTACGTTTTGTTCTGACTGCACAGGTATATCAAGCTGTATCATGGTGGGTTCCTTTTTTATCTCCAGAACCTATACACCTTTTCTAAAAATATAAAATACTTCACATCAATATTCATAATTTGCCCAAGGCCAGATTAAAGGGGGTCCAATATTTTAGCGCCCTTCAAATTAGTTACAAAAAATCTGTAACATAAACAAATATGTCATATGTTACGATATAGTTTACCAATGGGTACATAAAATTTTCACAATTACGTTAAGGCAACCAAGGGGAATACTGGCATACAAATTGCATTTTGTGTGAGTGTAAAAGACAATGACCAGAAGTAGGCGGATGTTAGGAAATCTAAATGGAAGTATATCAATATTTATTTTTTTGACTTTCAAATTATATTCTGAGAAAACGTGAGATAATCATTTAGAGGCATTTGATATATTTGAATTATTTGTCGCGATACTTCCATCTAAAATAGTATTTGGAAATCAGGCGACTCGCGTAAAAGGTAAAACATGATAAATCCTTTGTCCTTCGAGTTACCTAAATAACATTCGATTTACTCCAAATAAATACTGTTTCCCCTTGTTCATCATGTTATATAAATTCGAAAACAAAGCGCATCTGGTGTATTTTTATTTCGTACCTGCAGAGGATGAAACCCGTGCTACCGAGAACGACCAGGCTAATAAGTGTCAAACTCAACAAAACAGCTAACACTATTATGACGCCATGACTGCCTTCTGATTTTGTCATAGCAGCGGAACTAGTAGCTGGGTCTGCAAAAGAAAATGTTTTCACATGACTTGTTTCATTAATTGACTTGACTGTAATTGTTTGTTCAAACTGATCAAAGAAAGAACGATTTACGTTATAACTAGCATAAACTAATATTCCCTAATTCATACCTATTTAAAACAACTTTTAAAGTGTGTATATCTTAGCGAACTGGCTCTTTAAACAGCACACAAATGTATATTAGTAAAACATCAATCACTTACTCGTCAAATGAATATAATTTAAACAAAAATCATTTTAAAATATACTTTCATACTGATTTTTGGATGATTGTGAATGATTATATCCACTGGTGTCATGTCTAAAACAAAACCAAGGGTTGAAACGCTCGCCACAGTGTCTAAAATTGTTTTTGTTTTTTAATAAAGATGGTGACAACTTCATACACTTTTAAAAATGATAAAAGGGCACCCCTTACTTAACTTCTTGGTCAATTTTAATATCGATCTTATATGAAATATTATCTCATATTTTGTGTGAGTATAAAAGACAATGACCAGAATTTGTTGAGAAAAATTGAGACAATAATTTAGAGATATTTGAGATATTTGAATTATTTGTCGCGATACTTCCATCTAAAATAGTATTTGGAAATCAGGCGACTCGCGTAAAAGGTAAAACATCGCAAATCCTTTGTCTGTCGGGTTACCTGAATAACATTTAATGGGATGGGGGTGGGGTTGGCTCTGGATGGCTGTAAAAACGAACAAATGAATATCTTTATTCTGCAAGTTGATCACTAAATAAAGCACAAAATTATAAAACTTAAAGCAAAGGTTGAGAGTGTATTATCTCGAGCGTTCGACTTAGTATCTTGAGCGCTCGACTTAATTATCGCGAGCGCCCGACTCAGATATCTCAAGCGCTCGAGATATTATTTTTTCCTTGCACGTCATAAATCAGCCACCGTAAATAAGTGCTGGAAAGGTAATACCTCAATATCATTTAGCGTATACAGCCAATTTTGGTACATATGTGTCCGATGCTTTAATTTTAATACGCATGTCCTGTGCAGAACGGTTCGCGATGGCTAAAACCTCTATATATTTCTCGGTCGTTATAATTTGGTTATTTGTTTACCTTCAGTCTGCTTCACAGGCGACTGTAGTACTGATGTTCCCACTGTAGTCCCTGCAATTGTGGTTTGAGTTACAGAGTTGGAAATTGGGGTTCCTTATACAGAATGAGTGATACTCGTCTGCTGATTCGTTGTATGGTTAGCAGTTGTGGTTATACCCATATGATTAGTAATCATGGCCTCTGTTGTAGTGTTAGCAAACGTGGTCTCTGAGGTTTGGTTACCTGTTGTGTTAGCATGCCCAATCGTTGTAGGGTTAGCAGTTGTGGTTACACCCACAGGAGTAGTAATGGTGGTTTCTGGTGTAGTGTTTGCAAGTGTGGTCTCTGGGGTTAGGTTAACCACCGTGGTTCCTATTAATAAAGGATTATTAAGTACGGTTCCTGTTAAAAGATTATCAACTGTTACAAATGTCGGAATAGGTTACTGCTGAAATAGTAATAGTGTATAACTTTATTAGTCGTTATTTCGGTGTATAATTAGGGGAGACAAACAGTTGTGATTATTTAATTACAGAATGCCATATCGACTAAACATAAGTGCAATTGTTCCTCATATTATTAAACATATACCGCTTTAAAAAGATTGCGAAAAGTTATAACATGTGGTGGAAACGCTGATGCCAGTGTCTAAAACAATAACAAGACATTTTATACTCTTTTTAAAATAAAAATAGAGCTAAATTTCGACTATCGATCCTATAAAATATTATAAGATTTTAAAGTTTAAGAATACATGTCCACTGTTCTGTTTGGTGTATCGGTATCATTACCTACACATCACCGATTGTTAGATTCTGAGTAAATACTAACTCGGGGATCACTTTCTGATGTATTCAACTGTATGGGTGTTTCCCCCATTTTTAAAAGAGCGGAGCGGGTTCCAATCCCTCAGACATCATTCGAGTTCATAGGATATCATGTAGATTCTTAGGTAGCTTTAAATCTTGCCTCTTTGTAAGTGTGCCTGGATACTTAGGTCATTAGGTCTGAGTTCTTATAATAGTATAGCTGTTCTATCACTTTTATGAAAAGAATGATTTAAAAGAATGGAAGTCAAAATATGGAAGTCAAAATATTGAAGTTCAAGAAACACGAAACCAGTATCCTAAGATAGCTTCGCACCACTCTTTTGAAGACCGTAGTGCACATAATATTGGAACGTCTGTTGGGCCGTGCCACAGGATCGAAGTCAGGGCCCTTATTCACGAAAACTTAAACTAAGATACAATCGAAATTATAAGTTTAAGTTTAAGTTTTCATGAATAAGGGCCCAGCTCCGTAGCTAGCCCTAAATTGTTGGTCGTGTGTGGGGGGGGGGGGGGCGATTGGGCTTATGAGGGCACCGATGTACCTGCAATTGACGGTCTACGGCGAACAGTACCGTGGATACGCCTCTCTTCGGAGAAGAGTCTAGGGTGCTTCCCCCCCCCACCCCGGAAGATTTTGGAAAATAGGATTTACACTTGGAAATGACGGACAATTTCAATTTTTAGACTGAATTTGCGGTATTGGCGTTTTATGATATTTTGATATGAACATTATAAAAATTTGAAGGAAGGAATACGACTTTATCGTACCTATAATAATTTATGAGAAAAACGAAATGTTCGTTATCGGGTTAGAGTGCGACTTATTTGAATTTTGAAGATTATCACACCGATTTGTCGCCCAATTCATTCTTGGGCACCTAACCAATCTCAGTCGTCATTATAGGCGCCCCACCAATTATATTATGGGCGAGCACGTTGTCGTCGTGAACGGACCACCAATCTCGGCATTATGGGCACACCTTCGGGATGAGGGACCCCACCAATCATGCCGTTTTGGGCGCCCCATTGATCAAGTCGTGGACGACCAACCAATCTTACTCGGCATTATGCAATATGTGCGTCCCGACAATCATATATTGTCATTATAAGGCGCCCCATTCATCATGTCATTATGGACGCCCCTCCGGGAAAAAGGCACCCCACAGATCAAGCCGTTTTGGGCATGATTGGCGAGGCGCCCATAAAACCAAGTGACATTGGTTCGGTTCCCCGCCAATCTCGTCCCGGGCGCTAAACCAATGTCACTCGGCTTTATGTGGCGCCCATACTGATATGGGGACGTTAGTCGTTGGCTTCGTATTGCGTCCAATGGAAAGGGCGCCGAAGGCGCCCATCGAGACGGCCGGTTTTTTCCCCTGGCCCCCTAGCCCCCCCTCCCCGCCGGCGCTAGCTACGGGTATGGCAGTGTCACACATGTATGACCTATTAAAATGTTATGATATACATCAGAAAATTTTATGATCATCAAAATATCCTTTGTTCGCATTTGGA